TACGGGATTTTACATGATAAATATCCTCTACGGAATGAACTCCTACATTTAGACAGAAAAAATCACTTCAGTATATCGTTCATTCCGTATGAAATAAGTGACTTATACTTTAATTTATTCTATTAAAATATTTTCAGAATACCGTTCATTCCGTATTGGATTAGCCGACGGAATGAACCTATACACACATTCTATGAAACATTATTTCAGTTTATCGTTCATTCCGTTTTTATAGAGACGCGACGGAATTGTTAAAATTCAATTTTCACGGGACAGATTAGAAAAAGGCATTTCATTTCGTTTTTACCGTATAGTGCCAAGCGCCATTTTATTAAAACATGATGGTCACAAAGAAAACCCTCTTCCACGGAAATACTTTCTCTTGAGAAGCATGCAATGATTATCAGTAATGTTATTGCATACACATAGTTATATCGCCGGCACATATGTATATATTCTCCGGTTTTCCGTCCCGGGGCAGGTGGTACTAGCCTAGCTAGGCATTTGTAGTGGTAATTTAACGAGTTCATAACGTTCAATCCGTAAGAAATTATTCAAACACTTCCCCAAAACATTGCCAATCCCATTTTTTTAAAGCATGATGGCCCCCGAAGAAAACCCTCTTCCCGGGGAATACTTCCCCTTCAGTAGCATTTAATGATTGATAGTAAATAATATCGTCGCTATACTCCGGTTATCAGTCCCGGGGAAGATACATACTAAGCTTTTGATGCAAGTAATACCTTCTAATAATCATAACATGCTACTGAAGGAGAAGTATTCCTCGGGAAGAGGGTTTTCTTTAGAATCTGTGTATACCCTGACATGCTTCAAAGGGAAATTAATCCAGTAACGATTACTGCCCTTTCCAAAATTAATGAAATTTAAGGAAAAAAACAAGCGTCTACGTGATCATGATTTTGTGGGTGAACATATCTGTCCCTGGGGGCGAAAACCGGATATTGCCATGTTGCGTGTAGGTACTGTCAAATATAGTAAAACCGATTCACATGGATTCCTGGTGTAAACTTATTAAACTCGCTGGTTAAAACGTGTCAGGGGTCGTATAAATTATTCAATGTTTACATCGGCGAATCACAGGGGCAGTGTGTACAATGGAGCTGCATATCATGTCATCTAAATGTGTTAATTTCAGTCAAATTATCGGCTATTACCTGCTATCTTTATGTTATGCCTAGTGGCAAGGATTATATTATTAACAAGCGCTATGTGATACGTAAAGACATGTTCATGCGGTAACTAAAAATGCGCGGCGATTAATTTCATTAGGTTATTTTTTTTAACAAGAAAATGAAAATCCACGAATTTAAGTACCCACGAAAAGGCCCGTTTTGATAAAACCACGAAATTTCATGCCCACGAATATAAGTTAATTTGCAGTAGAAGAAATACCATGTTTGATAATACATGTCTAGAATTCGTTGTAATAATTCAAAACTCTATAAGCAATATGTAATATAAATTTATTCATCCACATATCTAGAATAGACCAGTCTGTTCTAAGATTGACTTTATTATTTAGTCCATGCTCTGCCTTGTGCCCTGTCCTGTTTTTGTTTTATGTCCTCCTGGGCTCCTGGCCGCTGGTCCTTGTTGCTGGGTCGTGTGGAGGTTGTGTTTATTGAACGCTGCCTTTCCTTGTTGATCTTATTTATTGTATTTATGATGCATGCCATGACGTGTTATTACCACTATAGGTTACACCATTATCAGCATCGGACTTTACCATCATATAAGTTTTGATCATGAGATAATTTTCTATACAAATTGCTCAGATGGTTTCGGTCTGTCTAACAAATTGGCCGCGAGAGCTCAAAATAGAAAATTCCTTTAACATCTTCTCCTTAGCATGGGGTCGATTTTAATGAAACTATACATAAATGGTCGTCGGATGGTCCTCTAGAAACACTGCACAAATGGTTTCGATCCGTTGATCAAAGTTGCCTTTAGAGCTAAAAATAAACAAGAACGTGTTTGTTAAACACAAATGCCCCCGGCTCAGATTCTTGTCAGTAGCAATATTTCAAAAAATGTTTACCCATTCACTCAGTTATGGACAGAAAAATTGCCAAAAAAATGTAAACACAAGTTATATAGCTTGACAAAGTCATGGCATTTTGTAATTGTGAAAATAAATATATATGAATACATCTGTCAATAAATAAAGGCTGTATGGGCAAAAGTGTAAATATCTATTTTGAGCACTGGTGACCTTGACCAAACTGACCCCTAACTCTATCCAAAAGAAGAATAACATGTAAGTAATCTTCCTACCAAATACGAAATACATCTGTCAATTAATAAAGGCTGTATGAGCAAATGTGTAAAAATCTATTTTTAGCACTGGTGACCTTGACCCAACTGACCACTAACTCCATCAAAGTTTATGTTTCTATCAATTATAAATAACATCTGTCTATAGAATAAGGTCAATACACATGTAAAAATGTAAAAATCTATTTTTAACATTGGTGACCTTGATATTGGACAGAAAAATTGCCAAAAAAATGTAAACACAAGTTATATAGCTTGACAAAGTCATGGCATTTTGTAATTGTGAAAATAAATATATATGAATACATCTGTCATTAAATAAAGGCTGTATGGGCAAAAGTGTAAAAATCTATTTTTAGCACTGGTGACCTTGACCCAACTGACCCCTTACTCCATCCAAAGGAAGAATACCATGCAAGTTATCTTCCTACCAAATATAAAATATATCTGTCACTTAATAAAGGCTGTATGAGCAAATGTGTAAAAATCTATTTTTAGCACTGGTGACCTTGACCCAACTGACCACTTACTCCATCAAAGTTTATGTTTCTATCAATTATAAATAACATCTGTCTATAGAATAAGGTCAATACACATCTAAAAATGTAAAAATCTATTTTTAACATTGGTGACCTTGATATTGGTAACATTGACCTTGACCCAAATGACCCCTTACTACAACCAAAGAAGGAGGACCTCCCTTGGAATGTTTGTATTAAACTAAGACATCAATTAAAAAATAAAGGCTTCATGAGCAAAAATGTTTATATTTATTTTTTAAACCAGTGACCTTGACCTTGACCCTAGAGTCCGCTTACTCCACAAAAAATTAGAGGACCATCCACCTACTAAATATGAAAGATATCATTAAAGAATTTAAGCAATTAGGAGAAATTTTAATATAAATCGAACATGCCGAAATAGTATAACCAGACAAGGCCCTATTTTCAAAGTGAAAAAAGGGAAATAACTGGGAATTATGGATGACACAGGTTTAAAACTTGGCAATATCATGTACTTTGTATTGATAAGTAAGTACGGAAATTATAAAGCCATTAGTATAGATATAACTTAAGATATTTCCAACTTGCCGTTCTGGGTTAACCATTATTAATTTTCTAAATGCTGAAAAGGACAATAACTTGGTAAATATGAAAGCCAGAGTTATGTAATTTGCCCAGATCATGTACTTTGTATTGATTAGTAAGTGTGTAAACTTAGAAGCCATTGGTACAGGTAGAACGGACGGACGGTTCAATTACTATATGTCCGGGGGCATAAAAAAACTTTGTAACGATATATCAATCTTGATCATTTGAATCATCTACTCGGGTGATGAGTGATTCAGAGCCATCATGCCCTCTTTTTTAATTTCTATATACACTGTACACCATAGGGAACGTGTTACAGTATTGCGTATTCAGGTTACAGTATACAATTTTCAAGATGGAGGATTAATATTGTTTGTGAGGACGACAGGTAGGTTAGTTTTATTCCGGTTTATACTACAAGTGGTTTGGTTTCTAAAAGATTTTTTTATGCTTTGGGAGAAAAATGCGTTTGTCTCTCGATTCGAAGTTTCAATCTGTCAAATCAGCACATTCATGAGACAATATAGAGAGAAAACTGCGTTACAGGGTCTAGAGAAACATATGACTAGATACCGGACCCAGTTCTTTACAAGCAAAACGCAAAAATGTCTTTTAAACCAAACTACCTGTTGTATGTACCGGAATAAAAATCACCTACCTGTCTTCCCCACAAATAATCCTCCATCTTGAAAAAGCTATACTGTAACCGGAAAACGCGATACTGTAACACGTTCCCTACGGTGATAAACAATGTTATGTATGTTTTATAACGCACATAAATTATGCTTGCATTTAAATGTCAACTTACAAATATTGAATATAAATTATATGAGGGAGGGGGTGGATGGGGTCAGTATCTACGTGTAGCCCTTAATAGTGATAAAAAAATTTAAGGTGCCATTTATATGTAAACAGAAATGTTGAAATATAAAATTATTGGTGGAAAATTTCTAATACAAATGATAACATTTAAAAAAATTCATATAATAAGTCATTGAACCAATGTTCATAAATAGTAAGAAGAAACAGTTTAGCAGATAGTGGGTGAATATGGTAATAATATACAGTACCAATTTATAGATAAATTATGCTTCATTAAGTCAAACAACAAATCAATTCTAATATATAGTAGAACAGTTATCTATTTAGTCAACACATTATAAAAATACACTAAAAATGAGGAGAATTTTGTAAGACTTAGCCTTCCGTTTTAATCATTTCCTTGAAAATAAAAATGTTTGATTAGTATTTTAAAATTATGTATATATCCGGGGAATAAATGTATTTAAACTAAATTTAAAAGAAATGATTTCCTTGACTACAACAAAGTTCATTATATCAACTGTTAACTATGTATTAGTATGAAATAGTTTTAAATTTGTAACTTATATACAACAGCTAATTTTATAATCATTTGAGCTTACACTACCGGTTAAATGAAATAAAATTAATGTATATATGTTATATTTAACACCAATCGTGATATGAAAAAAAAATTCCAATATCTAATTTTGAAGTATATGTTTATATTGTGACATTTTTAGGCATGAGAAACTAATGTTGGTACGTTTTGCTTTGACACTTAACCTAAAGATATTTCTTCATTTGTTATAGGAATTATCAATCAGTAAGGCGGAGTAGATAAAAATGTGAAATACTGTGCATGCTGGTACTGGTGGTGGTAAGTCTTCGTTACTCACATTTTAAATGAACTATTTTAAATATATTTAGTTTTCCTCAACAAAAAAACGCCATGCAATTCCTTTGTGATCGACGGCCAATGCCAAAAACATCTTAGTAAGTATGCTTGATCTAACTATTTCAAACATGTATTTTTATATATTCTTGTGTAAATTGAACAAAAATTAGATTAAAATTGTACAATTGACAGATTTTGTACGATATTTGTGTATTGTGCACTATGTATATAAGGTATGGTGCAAGTCAGCCATTCATTATTTAAAAAGTTTATAGAAATACATCGGCTCTCACACTGACCAGTATTAAATTTTGCACAAGTCACTGTAGCGACCTGAGCTGCGATTCATAGACCTTAACATATTTTTTCTTTAGATTTCATTAATTTCATATTCCAGAGAAAAGTTCAGAAATACAATGCCTTGCACTTTAAACTGTAAATGTTGATCTATATTCCTATTCAAAATTGACGAAGGAGTAATAACATAGAAGTAATTAATTAGGAAATATTTGTTGGTATTTATTCAGAAAGATGTAAGATACGACTTTCTATGGGGCACGCCTTTGTTTGACATACTTTATTATTACAGGGGATGTTCATACTGGAGATATTACTGGAGAACTATTTACTATACTGAATATATTTGTAGACCTGGATATACACACAATGGAGACCGAAACTGTAACATACGTATGTAATTAATATCATGAATGATTGACAAGTATTTTTGCTAAAGATTGTTACTCGACTAACATATGTTGAAATGGAAACATGTATTTCAAATATTGTGGGAAATATAAAAAGATGTATTTTACTGAGAGAAATGTATATTCTCTTATCACATAAACTACGACACAGGAGTGAAACTAAGCCATGAAACGATTTTGGGATAGTTTAATTACTATTCAAATGTTGTTGACGCACTGTCAACAAACTAAACAAACTTTATAGACTGTACTACTGTTCAACTCAATCCTTAATCTAATTAGATATACTTTCCAATGTCTGTCAACAACAACTACGCGGCATAGCATCAGAAAAAAGACGTTGTTAAGTGCAAGTCTAACAGAAGTCAAGTTCAACGCACTCCGAGTCAAAATATAGTTCATCTGTGCCTTTTTTCAAGTTGTTTTATGATGATTTAGTTATAGATTGATATATTTAGATTATTGCTTCGAGTCAATCAATTCTCATTCAATAAAAGACAATTTAAATAAATAAATTGTCAAAATACAATAAACGTATATATTTTATTTGCTCATTTTTTTAACATCATAACTACATGTAACTGACATTCTTGCGCTTTAAATTGTCGTCCATAGGCAGTGTCTATCAAACCGGGCCTGAAGCATTTTTTAATTTTATCGTTTTAGCTCTTTTCCATTAGCGTTAAAGGTGTCAAGTACGACTAATTAATTAACATTGGCATTTTACAGCAGTTATTATCCAATTTATGTGATAGAAAGAATATTACATTCGTGCTTTTCCATATCTTGAATTTATTAAACGAATACACACATCCTCGTATTTTATCACTAATTAACTCGTTTAAGAAATTCAATATGAAAAAGTAAGGTCATGTTTCTTTAATGCATGTGTTTTATAGGGCACCATGAGGAAAATGATATTGAATAGCAGGATATGTAAAGCTAATGTTGACATGTTATTATTATTGTTCTATTTAAAGCTGTATGTCGTCCGACGTGCCAGAATGGCGGAACTTGCACAAGTCCAAACTACTGCGACTGTCCTTCATGGTCTCGAGGAGTAGGATGCGCTTCATGTAAAATAATAAACAGATTATATATTTCGTTTTAAAGAATATAAGATATTGACTGTACATATTACATATTTCACATTCAAGATATCAAATGTAATTGTAGTAATCTATAAAATTTATTGAAACCTGGATCATTGTAAATGAAACATTTCACTTTCTCTGATTGAATTTCATTTTGATAGAATCACGTTGCTTTTTGGATACGAAAACGCTTTGTTTTTATGTAGGTTTAAAACATCAAATTTAATTTAGATTATTATTCTGAATGCTTTATTTTTACCTATTTGTATATTAATGGAAATAAAACTATTAAGCAATACGGTTTGATAAAATCAAAATAAATATGAAAAGTCAAATGATTCAATGGAAAATATGAACTGTACATCAACTGTAAAGCTATATAAAATAACGCGCATTATATAGAAAAAAAAGAGACACTATTTTATAGTGTACCTGGTCATGTTGGTATTTTTTAGAATTTCTTGTGTACGATATGCAAATTAATATATTTTCTCACGTCATAAATATATTTCAGTGACATGTTCTTATAGACAGCCCTGTTACCCTGGAGACTGCACTAGTGGTACCGAATGTACATGTGAACCTGGCTTCATAAAACAAAGTCAATATGATGGTTGTTTAGGATGTAAGTACTGTCAACAAATGATTACTACCTCGATTGTTATTGTCGTCACTTTTATCTGCTTTGAGCAATACTGTAAATAAATTACATTGTATAACTATTTTCATAAGCTTACTTCAGTAAGTAATATTGTAAATAGATAAATGTCTCGAAGAATCCTCCTTCTAGCAATACTTTTAACAAAATAATTATAATAAACAGCTCCATATTTTGTACTTCAAGCAACTCTGTAAACAAATGACAACCGTCCCGACAGCAGTCTTGAGAACAATTTATAGCGGTCTCCATGTTTGCTGCTTCAGTTAGTTCATGATAAAATCATAAACATGTCTACGTGAATTCAACATTAATAATTATTGATTGTCATTAAAAATGGTCTGTCTCAAAAAAGGGGGTGTAGTTGTTATAAATAAAATCATTTCAAATGATCAAATGAAATGTGCTTTTAAGTAAAGCAATGCATAATTATTCCTTTCCCAATCACAAACCCCGTTTATAAAATGTAACCTATGTTTTTTTAGCGCATCAACAACAATTTAGTGATTGGCTGGATGTTTTAATTGTTTATTGTTTATCACTTATAATTAGTGCGACTAATGTTTATTTGAATTTGATACAATTGGGATAAACAGATTAAGAGGAACAAATATTCAGGTTTGAAATAATTAAAAATATTTGAGAAACACGCATCCTAGTACCCTTAATCGTCGTCCCTGCTTACTTTGTGTAGCCGCAACCGTCGGCTTCAGTCAGGACATCGGCAGATTACTCCATAAGTGTCAAGTAGTGTCGCTTTATATGTAACCCTTATCAAACTTGCCGTCTTACACGAAACAATTAAGAAATAATATCGTTAATCGGCTATTTAACACCGGTTTGGACTTTTGATGCATCAAAACAACAAAACCGGTGTTAAATAGCCGATAAACACCGCTCAGACCGACATTATTTCGATTCTAACAAGATAAAACAAGAAAGATCCCTGATGTTATTTTTTCAAGCGGAAATAGGGTAAAGTGATCTTAAGTCGGTCACGATCGAAAGTCGGACATTTTTAGCTGTTCATTAAATATTGTAAACACGTTTCTAACATGCCAATAAGTGCAGTCAAACCAACCTTAACATTTAAACCGTGCATAGTTGTCTTTCTTGTCAGCGTGGCTTGCTTCCTGTCTTTAGTGTTACTATAAATAGCTCTATTGACGCGAAATTTGATATTCTCGATTCCAGAAAAGTAAGACTGGTCTTCCTATTTCAGTGGTTTAATGTATTAAAAATTAGAGAATGTATATGTAAATATATATCAACTATACAAATATACATGTTTATTTTGTGTTCTAAACTTGTTTAATTATTTGGCCTCGTATTTCTTTTACCTTTCCCCACCCTGCGTAGGAATCAAATTAGATGTTAAGTCGGACAGTCAAAAGTGAAAATTCGATGTTAAGTCGGGCACTGTTCAAAGTAGGTTCTATTGACATAATTACCCATTGTTCTATACATGAAATTATCTACAAGCTCTAGTTTTATTCTTAATAACAACAAAGAGCGTATAGGCCTATATATAGTAAAAGAAACATATTTTTTAAGCTTCGTATATTTTTTGCGACACAATAAATTGATCATATTATTTATTGAAGCTAAAATATCAAAGGACATAACATCTAGATCTATAATTAGATAATTGATTTTGAAAAGAAATGAAAATGTCTTGACTTCAGTGTTTCAAGATTTTTGAATATAGACACAAGATGACATAAGATGCAATTCTGACAAGACATGCGCCTGAGGAATAGACGAAAGGATAGGCGGATACGGCGCTACATACAATAAAATAAGACTCTTGTCTCTGCTTCCTTTTTATCATTATATCTAGATCTAGAGTTCATATGTATCCATGGTTCATTAATACTTACATTATAACTTCTTTCTAAGATATGATATTTGGTATTTGTGTTTTCAAATAATGTTAGATACCTTTATGTCAAACATATGTTCACCTCATTACTTAGCTGCTTTTTTCTTTGTTTTACAATTTAAATGTTTTCTTAGTTTCAAAGTGTTACCAACTTTTACTTTGTTATTGCTTGGTTGTAACTGGCAATGTATACGTAAGCAGATACGTTCTTAGCATGCACCATGGAGCCAAACTTGTATTACTGCAATTAAAAACCTGAAACATGAAGGTCCTAGTCGCCATGTCGGCTTATGTTACACGTCCCTGCGTCGTGAAGACGCACAGAAACTTAAAATGATACACAAATGATACACTTATGTCCAAAGCTTCGCTCTTACAAAAAGTCCCATCCACGTTATATAAAAGCAATTAATAAAAAATAAACATAATGACAGAATCTCAGAATCAGGGTTAACATGTGTAAGGCAGACGCACTTCATTTATATTCAGTGTAGGCTGGGAACATTATATAAATGAGATATACATTATAAATATTTTTGTGATTTAATGAATAAGTAATCCATGCCTAAAACGGAAGACATGATACACAATGAAACGTCAGTATACGGCGAATGTCCTGTTGTTGGGCAGAAGAGAAAATCTTCCTTGTGTGAGACAGAATTACGAAAATGCCGGACAAAGAAAATGCCGGATGACGTTCAATAACATTTTGCCGTAACATATATTATCATGATTGAACAACTTGCTCTGTTTAAATGACATGCTACTTTTTTGCTGATTTTTTTTGCTCTGCATGAATTCAAACATATATTAAGAAATTGAATCCTAAATGAGGATATTCTTCTAAAGTGAAAGCAGTGACAACAGCCTAATTTGATTTAAATTTAGCATATAAATCTGTTATTGTTAACAATATTCATGCTGTCACAGGTATCTTACAGAAAATATATTTTATCAGACAAACGAATATGTTCTAGCTGAACCATGCATACACATAAAATAAAACAGCAAATTTCGACCCTCTCCTCAGAATGTGATATTTTCTTTAACCAAAAAGATTATTGTTGTTGTTTAGATATTGTGAGAAAAACAGGAAACTGTCAACGTTTCTAGCCTTGTGCTGGGAGAGGGGGGGGGCGGGGTATACGTAGTCTTACCAACGTAGTATTACTAAAGTCATATATAGCGTCATTGAATGAGTACATGTATGTAACGGCGTATCCGCCTATTTTTACGTTTATGCGTCGGCTGCATGTTTTGTCAGATTTGCAGGTTGTGTCTATTACCCTGAAGACACTATTTTTTCCAAAATAAAATATCACGGTAACGTCAATATTTTAGTGTTTCATTTATTTGCAAACTATATGTTTTATTTTCTGCTTTCTAGTACACTGTAGTACGCACTTTAATCAAACTAAAATACAAATTAGTCTGTAAGCATAAAATACGTCCCATTTCTAATCTCGTATAGTGATCATTGGGATCGATGAGAAATGAACTTACTCAGAATCACACAAATTATGCAAAAAAAAGGTTTAGTACATTTTAGTTAGAAAAATAATATATTATATAATGTTATAGCGAGCTCGACGAGCTGGCCCGAAGGGCCTGCTCGCAAAGCGAGCTTTACGGTAACGCGAGTACCTGCTAAGTGATGGTTTTGAAAACTTTCGTCCAAAGTACCAAATTGGAAATTGCAACCTTTCGAATTTAAAGAAAACGGTAAAAACTGAGGAATTCTGACTGAAAACGGATGTGTAGACTGGTCACCCGCGCACGTCTATGAGAACCATACTTGGACAGGGAACCAGAATAAAGGAAGCTGTGTATAAAAAACGAAAATCGAAGGCGCCATTTTGTTTGAAATCTGATAAATAAAAACAATTTTTTGTCGAATTTTGTTGTGAAAACTATCTAGAATGAAAGAAAATGGTCTAACTAAGAAAATGAATCCGTACACCAATATCTTTTATTCAGTCGTTAACGCTGTACAGACGTTTAAAGTATTGTTTACGTGACGTCACAATGTAGCGCCAAACAGCACGTGCAAAACAAACAAATCAAGTACGCTATTTTAATGTCGCAAACGTTTTAAGTTTTACATTTATTTCACTTAAAATAATCTTTATTTCGCTTGAAAAATTATAGAGTGAAATAAAATAAACAAAGTTTTATCATCGAGCTCGCTTTGAGGCTTTGCCTTTTTCATATTAATATTTCTGAAACAATAATAGAAAAACCATATATTTCATTCGATTAATATGATGAATACCGATTAGAACGGGACCGTAATTTGTACCGCCCAAGTTAAAAAAATTGGTGTCCGACTCAACATCAAATCCGTCCGAGTCAACATCAAATGCTGGTACCTGGCTTAAACCCGATCTTTATTTTTTTTCTTACACTGGTTCCGAGTAATTATGATTGTTTTTCGTTTTTTAATGTATTCCCCCGTGTGTAAGTGCTTTGGAAATTCCGGTATGTTTCTAAAAATAGATTCTACAAAGGGAAGAAGCTACGATACAGTCCGACTTACGATCACTTTACCCTAACTTCCGGTGCCGATTTTCGTATAACGATGTTCGATTTCGCAACCTACTGGAAATTATTAAACAAAAGAAATAATAAGAAAGAAAAGTTATTTTATCAAGTTTACAACATTCAAACTTACGTCTTAGAATGGATAGTGTTGTGTTCACATCAGTGGCCAATTTATCATTATTGTATGTTTGAAATGACGTCAGCGTTTATGAATGAGTTGTATACTTAGGATGACGTCATTACGCTGCTTACGGATTGCCGCCGTTTGTCAAAATATTTATTAACTGATATGGATCCAATATATGGCGTTAGTGTATGTGAGATATTCTTTCGATATTGTATAGAAAGAAAACAATATAAGAACTGAAAATATAAACAAAAATGCTGTAATGAAAATTATTGTTGCTTTAAAAGGCTTTGTAAACTATATAATCGAGGGTGAAAACATAACAGCCGCATATACAATTAGTCCATTGGCAGTTAAACACTGGTTGTTTTCCTTCTTTGTCTATAGTGACAAAATCACGTGGAGTGTTAGAATCGTTATTATAGTGACATGTGTTGCATACACAAAAATAAACAAAGATGAACGCCTGGCCCATAGGACCTATAGGTCACATAAACAGAAGATTATAATCTGAGCATGTATTTTATTATTAACATTTTATTAACATAATAGTAACTTCATATTAATACATGATATGCATTTACGGACAGTTGGATTTTACAACATGACGATTATTAATCATGATCAATTTTACAGATATGTTTTTGAAATAAATTTGATAATTTTATTTTGGTGGGAAAGTAGTTTTTCATTGTCCGCAAGTGTATTAAATGAATTGTTTTATTCAATAACATTTCAAAAAACAACAGTTCTTATAGCATTGTTAATAGGACACACAACAAGGAAATGAGCTTTGTCCTCAATTAGATTAAAGTACATATATAGTCTTTGATAATTTTCACAATTCTACAAGTTTACAACTTCATCAACCAAGGCAATACAAGATTTCTATGCTGTAAACTACTTACAAGTTTGTTATCTACATATATTTGACAGTTGATTCTACACGTGAAGAGCTTCGTCCAGTTGTCGGTAAGAGTAACGTAACATTGTCTCATATCAGAAGAATTGATGGTCAAGTTGATTTTATGTTCATATTAGAGGGACTGGAGGAGAAAGAGGCGGGGAAAAAAGAAATTATTTGGTGGTAAGAAAATTAAAAGATGATATTAAATGAGCATAAGTTCAGTCATATTTAGTGAACCAGTTGAATAAAATCATTTTAAGCTAGCCTGCCGTCAGCATAATATTGTTTTTACTACCTACCTTGCAGTGGAAAGTGAAATTATATTTTATAATTTTCGCAGTGAAATTATATTTGATAATTTTCACTGTAGCCGGACCATATTTGAATGCGGATGAAAAATAATATTTCATAACTAAATGAAATTATCAACAGGAATAAATTCTGTCGTATGTAAATTTTGCTTCTTTAGGAGAAGCAAGTAAATAACTGCATACATTGTGTTAAAAATGTAACAAAATTCGAGAAATGTTACTGAACTATTTTTTGACATTGGTACGGTGACGTCATGATATGAGTACGTCATGAAGAATGACGCATGGTGTTACACGGCAAAACAAGTAGAAATAACTTTAAATCGCTAGATCTAAAAGCATTGAATAAATAGAATATTTGTTTTGCATTTAAGATCGAAATATATTTCACTAGGTGGATGCCAGATGAAATATTTTCATGAGTGGCGTAGCCACGACTGAAAATATATTAGCAGGTGTTCACGATCTTACATGCAAAACAAACAAATATATTCCATATATTTCATTTATAAGTATGCATTGAAATATTTAATGTATAACATATCAAAAAATCAAACTGGCTTACAGTTAAATAGTGTCTATAGTATAACGTTATCAGTTCGTTTTTGCGTTATGTTTGAATAACGGAAATGACGTCACGTTAAAAATTTTTTGGGTAATTGGGGAAAAAACTCCTCACAGTGATTACCCCCCTTTGGGCCCAAATTGGAAAATTTCCTACGCCAAAAGATTGGGGAATCCCCTGCGGGGGGTTAAAAAGGGAAATTGGGAGCCCAAAAAATAAATACGAAATTACGGTAAAATTTTCGGGGAAAAAAACAAGGGGCGCCCTTGTTTTGAAAAAATCCCTTTAAAAAAGGGTCTTTTTATTTTACTTTTCCCCCCAAAACAGCGGAAATTTTTTTTTTAAAGGGATTAAAAACTTTGAATAAAAATGTAAAAAAATTTGGCAAAAAAAACGATTTTTTTTTCCAAAATTTGGGAATTCTTTTGATTCTCAAGGGGGTTCTAAAAGGAAATTTTTTGTTCCGTTTCCTGTAAAAAAAAAGGGTTTTAAAATTTCCTTTAAAAACCAAAAAAGGGAAAATTTAAGCCCCGGGAAAAAAAAGGAAAAACCCAAAAAAAACCCGAAAAGCATCTAAGTGACGTCATTTGCACACCTTTAAATACAGTATGACGTCATTCCGATTTGTATATTGTAAACATAAAGAGAACGGAAAATATCAGTTAAAATGTTTTAACATTTTATGTAAAGGAGTATGCTAAAAAAGAACAGCCGCAGTCGCATATACTGTACAACTTCTACACAGCAACACTGTTTGGTATACTTACAGCTGAGAAGATTTACACGGGAGAAGTTAAATCTATTGTGAGAAAAAAAAACAATTATAATGAAACTGTCATGTTAGAAATATTGAAATAATAAGGTATACTTAATTATTATTGTTTCAATTTCTAAATCGTATCAATTGAATACAGGTTTCATAGAAAGATTGTTTAATTTTGCAGCAACCAGAAGCGATTCAATAATCTCTATTTCGAAATAAAATAACATTTTTTCAATAGCCGGAAAAACCCTTTCCGAACCAAAATTGTGTATGAAAAAGAAATAGGAAAAAGTAGAAAAACTCAAAAGAAGCAAAACGTTTGCAAATTCCCCCGAAAAATGGGGAAAGGGGCCCCATTTAAATTAAATTGATTAAAAACTATAATTACTAGAAATGCTTTAAAATTTGTATGAACGAATATGTTTTCTTTCCGTACAAAAAACTTTAATTTGGGAATACGTTTTTTTGGCAAAAGTTAAAAGCGAAAAATCTAAAAAGAAAAACAAATTAAAACATTTTTCTATCGGTGGTCTGATTTGAAAAAGAAGGATCGTTTTTAAAGTCTATAAATGTGAGGGTGGTTTCTCAAAGGACAATCCAGCAGCCGAGCTGGCCACATGTATAATTGACGATGATCAGTTCAGGACACTCATTGAACATGGAGATTGGTAAGATTGGCGTATTGTAATATTATCTTTGTTCGTTGCGGCAAACACAAAACAAAGAGTTACAAGTAAAAAATTGCTGGGAAATGCAGCAATATGATTGTCACGGCGAAAAACAAAAAACCCAAAACACCCCTCCCCCACAAAAAAACAACAACAAAATACAGTTAAGTAAATTGATAAGGTATCTCCAAATAGCATTGTGTTGAATTGACATTTTAACTTGTTCAGAAGGTTTTTAAATATCATAATGTAACTTGTTACAAGAGCCATGTATATGTAGTAGAGCAGAATGATTATCATTCTTGTGTACAGCAGACCTCTTAAGTGAGATCTATCCACCTATGAAGGTTCATGTTGAAAGCTCAAAGGCTTTTGTAGTTATCCTCTGGAAAAAAAATTAGTATGAAAAATAACAAAGGGCAATAACTGAAAAATAATGCACGTTAGGTTAAATGTCTTGTGTGCTGCACTCCTCTTTGAGATCTATCCACCTATGAAGTTTCAAACACTTTTTGAGATAAGCTCCGGACAAAAAATAACAAAGGGCAATAACTAACAAAATATAAAGGGTATCATTCTTGCGCCCAACATTCCTCCCCAATAATATCTATTCACCCATGAAGTTTCATGTTAACATCTCAAAGGTTTTTGAGTTATGCGCCACTCGGGTGAAAAATAAAATATGAAAAATAACAAAGGGCAATAACTCAATATGAAGGGTAAAGTTATCACTCTTTTGCATTGCACACCTCCTGAGTGAGATCTATCCACCTATGAAGTTTCATGTTGATATCTCAAAGGCTTTTTCAGTTATGCTCTGGACAAAAATTAAGAATGAAAAATAACCACCTCCTGAGTGAGATCTATCTAAGAAGTTTCATGTTGATATCTTAAAGGCTTAATTAGTTATGGCGCTGGACAAAAATTAAGTATGAAAAAGAACATAGGGCAATAACTGAAAAATAAGGCACGATAGGTTATCATTCTTGTGTGCTGCACTCCTCAATGAGATCTATCCATCTGAAGTTGTTACCTCGAACACTTTTTGAAATAAGCTCCGAAGAAAACGAATGAAAAATGACAGAAGACAATAACTCAAAAATTATAATGGGTAGAGTTATCATTCTTGCGCACAACATTCTTCCTTAATAAGATCTATCCACATATGAAGTTTCATGTTGACATCTCAAAGACTCTGAGTTATGCTCCACTCAGGTGAAAAATTGAGTATGAAAAATAACAAAGGGCAATAACTAAAAAAATATGAAAAGTGGATGTTTCACTCTTGAGCACTGCATACCTCCTGAGTAAGATCTATCCACCTATAAAGTTTCATGTTGATATCTCAAAGGCTTTTGTAGTTATGCTTTGGACAAAAATTAAGTTTGAAGAATAACAAAGGGCAATAATGAAAAATTATGCTGGGTAGAGTTATTATTCTTGTGCACTGCACTTTTCCTAAATATGATTTATCCACCTATGAAGTTTCAAGTTGATACCTCCACCTATGAAGTTTCAAACTGATACTTTTTTTGAGATATGCTCCGGACAAAAATGTAGACGGACGCACGGACAGATGGACAGACTGACGGACGGAGACTTATTCTATATCCCCCATCGTCTTTTCGGTGTGGGGGGGGGTAATAAAACATTTTCTTGCTCATATCTAAAGGACTAAAGGAAACTAAGAATTTTGCTCACAATAACGAGACATGAATTCTGAATGAAGTTTGATGATGTGGTAAAGACTGATTTACGGACCAAATTTAAGTTATTGTACAACCTGGTATGGTGAGTGTTTATTGTGAAACGCATATAGAAAAACCAAGTCTCATTTTAGAGAATTGCGCAAGATAAATGAAATTATTCAAAAAAGACAATTAAAGCTCTTAATTGCAAATATAGAAACTAAGAAATGTAATGTTCAAAGACATTTTACACGTGTAAAGATTTACTCCGATCAGACATAGATCCGACATGAGAACTTGTCGTCCCTTCGTGTTTTCGTATTTTTGCATTTTCAGGCGAAGACGCGAAAATACGGCATGGCGTAAATCAGCCACCATACAAAATCCATTTTGGCAAATTTCTCAAGTATGTCGAAAGGATGTCCGGAAATGTGTTATTATAAAACGCTGATATTTCTTGTGTTGATAAAAATACTGTTTAGAGTCTATATGGTTTGGAAAAAAAACTGTTTCTATGTAACTTTTCACGGAAATGGGCTGTACAATGATTGCGTAAAAACAATAAAATGTCGGCTGTAGAAATCGAAAAGCATTTTGTCACGTGACTTTTGCCCATGCTACCGAAAACTACCCATCACAATATCACGGCGTTGAGACGCCGTGAAATAAGGCCGACGGTTCATACACTCGTAAATAACTGTATAAAGTGCTCGGTGAAGATAGGATTTATCCTAACGAGTTACCTTCGTTAAATATATAATGAATATTATTTCGTTTTTTTTGTGTGTGTTTTTTCCTGTTGTTGTCGTTTTCTGTTGTTGTTATTGTTGTTGTTGTTGTTTTGCAATAAAACGATGCAGTTCATATTAAACAAAAATAACACAGAATGATAAAACTTGCCGTTCAATATCGTCCTCATATGAGAGTAAAACCAACATAAGTTTTGCCGGAAATCAACATATCGTTTGAACCGATGCACATTTCGGTGATCAATATACAGTTAGTCCGTATATTACCGGAAAACGTTTTTGTACAAAGACCGAGCGGAACCGGATATCGCGGATCGGATACTAATACATGGTAAACTTTACCCGGGGTAATTCCAACTTCAATTTCGGAAAAACGACGAAATCCATACGGGCTAAATCAGGAAAGTAAGGTGCATGTCCCACTCTCCCAAAGCCAAGGAAGTCGATAGTGAGCAGCTTCCCTCGCATAAATATACAGCTGCATTATATCGGTAGAAATACAAATATTAGGCTATTTGATCATTAGGCAAAGCGTGCATGAGCAACATCCCAACGAACTGCATAAAGACTTCTTTGCATATTTAATTTGCTTAACTTTTACCGGTGCTAGGGAGTCTGGTATTTTCCATATCATGGAATCCCAATTTTCCACCATTCATTTTATACATATTATGTTCCATTTATTTTTAAGCCAAAATGTCACTAATAACCATTACAGTGCGATGTCTGTCGTCTTCACACGTTTGTCCGATGCGTTTTGAATTTAAATAGAATTGAAATTGATATAAGATAGATGTGGTTGCACACAGCATACATAAAACAATGCGAGCATCAAATGAATGTTTACTTTTTGAAGGATAAAAAAGTGAATAATAAAGAATATGAAGCATAGACATATATGTTGGGTTTGAATTATTTTGGATTTGTTTTCTTCTTACTGATCTTTATCTTAAAGTCAAAGTGAAATCTTCAAATGATCCGTATTTTTTGGCTCAAAATATCAATGCGCACCAATCAATGCCTGAACATACTTGTTTGTTTTTTCTAAATTTATTGTTTAGGTTGAATATCAAGTTCAAGTCATCATCTGGGGGTTTCCAACAGTTGGTCAATATAGATCAACAGAGGAGGCCATATGCTCGGAAATACTACAAAGGTCTGCAAGATATTCGAGAGGTAAGTTGTATTGCTGTTTACCGTTTTTTTTTAGATATTAAATTTTAACAGAATGTATATTTGTTAATCTTTCTTTTAATTGCAATTTTATACGTTGTTAACGTAATTTAAGGAACACAAACACGTCAAGTATGTACATATGTTGCTGAGAGAAAGATAATTGTTTTTAATAACCACGATATGTATGTATGTATATTACGACACCTTCTTTCAATATTGATTGATTGATTGATTGATTATAATTTTGTATTCTATATATTGTCCAGGTACAATTCAATTTCGACTTCATAGCCCCTAAACATTGTCTAGAAACAAAAACATGTAACTCATGGTCAGACATACTCCGTGTCGACAAGGAATTCACAAAGGTAATAGAATGTTTATTCAATTTGGTATTTCATTTAAAATCGTAAAGGTTTTTTTTTCAGTGCAAATGTTCATTCGTCATTTCTAATAATTCTCTGGTTCTGTGATGTAAGATTGGATTGATGTTTACCATTACGCTCCACTTGGAGCAGTGTTCCGGTTTTCATTCTCATTTATTACAGCTCTATTTCAAGATAATTTTTCAAACGGCTTTTGTTTATTCATTTGCGTATTAACCATATCAATTCATAGTTTGTGATTTTATAGCAAATGTTTTATCATATGTTGATTAAGTTGAAATCGTAAAAGCAAAAACAGAGAAGTTTTTAAATATATTGATATTTAAGATTGCCACGCAACATAATATATGTTTTGATCGAGTAAGTTTTTTTAAAAGACATAATAATTTAATATTTACTTTATTCTATAAAGATCATGATAAAATTGATCATTCATTTGTAAACGTTTTAATTCAGGATCCTATAAAGATTCTCTGGTCCGGATGGATTGATGAATTATGTGGCGTTTGGGAATATTACGTAGAAGTGTTTAAACTAACACCAGATCGATATGACAAACTTATTGAAGCAGAACCTTTGAAGCCTGTGTTTAAGGAAACCATTACACACAATAGAAACATTGTCTATCCTTCTTACAAGCCGGAAGAACCGGGCATGTACAGGTAAGAAAAATTACCTTTGACTTTAGATTACATTGTATTTATATCTTAATTTATATATTGTTTTATATAAATTGTTCATTATAATATTATGTATTATATATGGATAGTATTCTCGACAGTATATACTCACTTAACACACTGTATTATCACTGTTATTACGCATTGCCATGCTGCCAAGCAGTAAGGGAATAGATTTTATAAGTGTGATAAAATCCATATCACCTTTATAGAAAACAATATTGTTTGGTTTAAACCAATAAAGCAGCTAGTTGATATACTTAACTTAACCACAGCACTAAGTAATTTGTAACCATAACTTAAACAACAAGTATGTAACATCAGTAATCACGGGATTGATGATCACGTAATGTTTGAAACATAGCCGACACATAGTCTATGTCTGGCTTTTTGATTAAATACGTTAATGTCTACTTTAGGAAAACACATATTAATGTGGTCAGGTCTTTCTTTTTCCCTGATTGTTATAAATCGTGACTGCCATAAGCTTCAAGAAGAGTTAAGCAAAGCTTCTTTTCGTTTAATAAATGTCGTTTCTTTTACAAATATCAAGTGTTTTGATGGAAACTAGAGACTTTGCAAATAACTCAAGAATAGCGCGGAGACTTGTTTTGTTTGATGACCAATCGGACATTACCCTCAATGAAAACCCTGACGGAAAACTGTACGTGAGTTCAGCTGTTAATGAAACTGGATATATGTGGCAGACTTCAAGTGAAGGTAAGTAATTCAAGGAAAGTAAAGCTATTAGATGGTACAATTTTATAACATCTTTCCTTGGTTTATCATTTCGCATGTATTTGTGGTACAGGACAGTTATCTGTCTCATGCTTATTCGCGTTGGTTTGATGTACTTTGTGTATGCAAATGCATTTAAGCTAGATTGTGTTGGAAGATATTAGCTTATTGCAACACTTTCGAATCTGTTCGTGGTACCAACAAGTACTAAGCATTGAACGAAAAGTTTCTTGCTCAAGGAAACAACGACTTGCCCCTGACAGGGTTTTAAAGAATCTTAGATTATGTTATAAGCGACCATTATTATTTCTACCACCACCTTTTTCAGGAAATGATGTAACTATCGATGTAGCCTGGTCAAATCATTTTATTAATAGGATAATTGAAGACAATAAGTTGCTTTATCGTGTTGACTCATATCCAATCCAATTCAAGGAAATTGAAGATGATGGCATACGTTCTAGTCAAAAGTAAATATGTGTATTGTGTTACTTTCTCACTTACATTAGTTTATTTTAAACTTACTTCTTTCAGCACGGTTGTAATGAAGGGCATCGAATTCATCAAAACCGCTATCGTCTGCCTACCAAAACTAGCTTTTAATGTTATCTGAAGAATCATGGGCCCATGATTCCTTGCTTGAAGGGAAAATATTTCACCAATTTTGCCATATCTCTCCTTTTTCACTGTAGTATATTGCCATACCTCTATCATTGTACTCCCTCGCCATATACATACACGCACGCACGCACGCACGCACGCACGCACGCACGCACGCACGCACGCACGCATACATACATACATACATACATACATACATACATACATACATACATACATACATACATACATACATACATAAATACAAACATATGCTTAATAATGGCTTTCTACTAAATCTCTATAAACGAAATTTTTGAGTTCTTGACCTTGAACAATTTTGTTTCAAAATTTCTAACTTGTTTTGCTTCCACGAAACTCAACACCTTACATCCGTGATTTGATAAAAAGGTACAGGTGTTGTTAACTTTTCAAACGATCAAGTGTTATAAAAAAGAATATTTTACGCATAAAAAACTTATATTGTCTTGCTTTCTGTCTTTAAAAACAAGCACAAAAAAATAGCAAAACATTAACTTTTTAAATTTCCCTTTTGATTCAGTTTCCAATTGCCATAATAATTTTTTTTCTTAAATCACTATAAGTTAACGGAATATTTAAATGGTTATTATTCCTTTTTTTATGGCGAATAAAGATATATGGTATGCTCGTCTAGTTTAAAAGCTATGTTAGTTTCTTACAAAGGTTTTCAATAAAGTGCACCAATACTTCATGAGATTGCTTATTTATGATTTTATTTTGGATAAGCGTCTTCTGAACTTGATCACCTTGAGTTATTGTATTGTCATTTAGACAAGTCATTATCAGATGCCAGCATCTTAATGGGTGAGACAATTAAGCATCCTGTCATTATGGACAAAGTAATACACGTCTTCGTGAAAAGTACTTGAAAAGTCAGGAAATAGTCAGTCCCATATTTGCTATTTTTTAAAGAATCGGTCAAAATACACAAGTGTCCTCAGGATAACGGGATTTCAGAATAATGATAGATGTTTACTATTTTATATGTCATTAAGTACTTATAGATTAATTGTATATATTGTTATAGCGTAGACTATTTTCCACTCTATACGCAGATAATTCAAGCATTCATCAGTGTATTTATTTAACGTTGTTTGTACTCCTTATGATTTTTTGTAATGTATGATACGCATAAAACATTTTTATTTAAAAAAAGAAGTGCCTTAATTATAGAGAATTTATAAATAAATATTGTTATAATATAACTGAAATTATTCACTTTCAAGCTTATTAACATATTAGTATACAAAATGAGCCGCGTCACGACAAAACCAACATAGTGGGTTTGCGACCAGCATGGATCCAGACCAGCCTGCGCATCCGCGCAGTCTGATCAGGATCCATGCTGTTCGCTGTCAGTTTCTCCACTTGTAATAGAGTTGGTAAGCGAACAGCATGGATCCTGATCAGACTGCGCGGATGTGCAGGCTTGTCTGGATCCATGCTGGTCGCAAACCCACTATGTTGGTTTTGTCGTGACGCGGCTCAAATATCTTTAAAAAGATAAAAAAGATGGCTAAGATATCACACATAAATACAAAAAAATAGCATTTTAGCTTACATTAGGGATGACAATACGGATTAACATTCATATTGATTAACATTTTTAATATAAAAACATAAGTATAAAATAGAGAACTACATCAATAAACATTCTTAAAGAAAATAAGTATTTGAGAAGTAATTAAGGCTAAAGAAGTAGCACACTATATCTAGCCATGTTTCTTGAATAGTAAAGTTACTATAAGCTAAAAATCTACAGAGTTTGTTAAAACATGCAAAGGAATTATTAATTTTATATTTTTGTCTGAGTTCACTAGACGTGGGGAAACATATCAAGTAGAGGTATTGGGTTTCAACATTTTAACATCAGCAGCATAATATCTTCCACTTTCGATTTCAAGAGAATGGGAGCTTAGTCTTAGACAAGACATTTCTATTCCATGTGTATATATTTAACCAGATCTAAGTATTTTCATACATAAATACAGTTTTTAAATTGTTTAATAGTAGTATATAGTAGAATAACTTAGATTAATTAGCTACTGTTTCATACCAGGCGTGTCAGATTGGTCACGTGAACTTTGTTTTAACATGGGCATTTAGTTTTAATCAAAACTGTTGTTTGTATTCAGTAAATAACTAGCAAATCTAACAATCATATAATCTCTGATGTCCCGGTTACTTTGCTATTGTTGTTTATAAAGAAATCACACAACTCAATATAAATACTTTGCTTAAATGTATTTGGTGATTTCATAATAGCAAGCCAATATTTAGAGCGCGTTTTATGCAATAATATAAGTCGAAACTGACCAAGCCCTCCAAAGACAGCAGAACTTGATGTTTTAAGAAGAACCCCTAAAGCTATTTTAAAGGACTTGAGGTGATTTTGTCAACTTCATTGTAATTGAAACGCCCAGAATTCGGAACCGTACAGAATTTCGGGAGTAACTAGGGACTCGAACAGGAACAATTGTGTTTTAACATGTATTTCAATTTTACAATGCCTAACAACATTTATAATATTGCCTGTGTAACAAGATTACAATAGGAATAGACTATTTAATATTTTCTTCTTTGATAGACCATATAAAAATTATTCCTAATTTGTTTTCTTTTCAAATATACAAATTTTAATTTTGTTGATAATAATTTGCACATGTTCGTGATATTTTTTATCGCGTTATTTCACTGAGAGAACTTTTTGTCTCAGTTCAATCCAAAACCTTAGGAAGTTAACTTAAACAATCTTAGACTTAACTTATAATCTAATCTAAAACTTGTAACAACTCTTTTAGTGATATTTATTATAGTGTTCGTCTTGATATGACCATTAATGGTGTATATGCCGTTGTAAACCCTAACAAACAAACAAACAAAATTAAATATTTAATCCCAGTTAAAAAAACAGAATCCCGAAAGAACGCTCAAAACGGCAAAATTGAAAATGTTGAAGGCTCGGTTTTATTGAGTCTGTTTATGGATGGTACTTATACTCACAATGTTCATAAAGATTATCAATCTGGTTTTGCAGACTATTTGAGTTGGTTGTAGATGATGCAATATCATCAGCATATAGGAAAATTACATAGATAACAAATTGATGTCCTGTCATTTGACAGTATTGACAAATCAGTAATATTACATATATTATTCACAAACAAAATAATCAACGATGACAAGAGTGGTTCCCCTTGTTTTATTCCAAGCAAGATATCAAAAAGGTTAGAGCAAGACATTGACCAATGTATCCTTTTTGAAAGATTTGAAATTAAGAGTAATGACCATTCTTATCATTTACCATTAATAATTGCATCAATAAGAAATAAATAGATGCATGCAGATTGAAATTTATACTGAGTTTACATACTGATATTGAGTTATGTAAGATTAGGTATACTATAACACTACAATTATTGGAAGAGCTTTCTTATTGTTGATTGAAAGAATAAAGATATACATTTGCTTATCTAAAAAAATAATTTCATCCCACAAATTGTCATTTTATAGATTCGTACCCGATTCCTTAGACGACAACGAAGGAAATCGAACACTTGAAGCTATTGAAAACTTTCACGGAATCGTAAAATTTGAAGTAGCAACTGTTCTATCAATAGATGACGAGGAACCAAAGTCCACATGGAAAATTTTGGAAACATTTCAAGAGAAAACCTCAATTAAGTTGAAACTACAGGAGGGTAAACTTTGTACTTGCATTATTAATTTATATAACTTCTTATTACTTTTTACGTTTAAGATAGAATATTTCTTCAACTTGTTGAAACATAATTGTCCTGTTTTTGATTCTTTAACTGGTGACAGAAATATACCACGATATTCTATACATATTTTGAACGCTATCAGGGTTATTAAGCAATACCATGTCTCATGTAGAGACGTAAATGTAATTTATTGATTCTTTTTTTAGAATAATCAAAAAATAAGACAGTACAATTCATTGACATATTAAAAAATACACGTGATGTATTTAACAGGAAGCCGTGTACGTGTGTGGGTCCGAGCGACAGATGTAATGGGAAATATAAAAACAGACAGTACTTTGGTAATGTTTGATAATACAGAACCTACGATATCTTCTCCCGGGGATGGCCACATGTTTGAACCGAACATTGAAAGTACAAAATTTAATTTCTCTTCGAGGTAAGGTTTATTTTCATTCACCTCACAAAGAGTTAAGTTAAATGCCAGATGCCAGAATGTAATGTTACCATGTAATCAAATGCTATAACTCCTTTCTCTTCAAAGTGTAGCTCCAATTTTCAGTTGGTCTGATCAAAATATTATAAAAATATAAACTTAAATGTCCAAAAAATGTTTTATCAAATATAAGAACTTCTAAATAATTAGTAAATTGTTACACAAAACATAATACACTGTTATTTACTTCTCTAATGCTCTTTGTTTAATTCTTTGTTTAATTCTTACATAAACAATTAGTACTGTTATGAAACAATGTCTTAAAGTTGACATACTATTGGCTATGTATAGATAAAAGTTAAGGTATTCATTTGAATTGAATTATATTGTTTTTAAAATAATGAAACTGTATCGTTTAAAATGTTGATAAAAGAAAAGTATATTGTCCTTAATTACCAATTATCTTATTTCCGTTCAGGATGCAACCTCTCAGCGTAAACTATTATCAAGCTATGATAATAAGCATACAATTGACTTTTATTGCTATCGTTTAAAGTAGTGACCTTTAAAATACCTTCAATAAAACCCTCATAATAAAGCTAGTGACAGGAGCTAAACTATGTACAAATTGATACTTTATTGTAGGTCATTACCCTTCGAGAGACTGCTAACATTCATATTTTTAATAAATTTGGCATAGTAAACGTTTCAGAGGTTTATAGCTTAATTAACTAATGATGTTAAACACCGTCTTGGTAGTAAACTTGTAAATAGCTGCATGTATTTTATTTTTTCAATTTTCTATATGTGTGTTGTTTGAATTTTTGATATAACAAGGTCTATTATTATTATATCACCATTACTCACTATATTCTTTCATAATTGGTCAATTGGTTATAAATTGAGAATTTAAAACGTAAAATGAAAATTTCAAAGTTTTCTTTTAGTTTATAAATATCAAATACGTGTTTCTTATAGTATGAGTAAAATATCTGACATGTGTAGTCAAGTAAATAAAAAATATAAAAAATATTGCACAATAATTTAATATTAGATGATTATGCTGATGAATGCATCATTCGATGCTTAGTCATAATTAAATACCATTTGATACTTGGCTAACGCATCGGTTGAAATTATATTGTCAAGGGTGTGAACATACATTGCGGGATGTGATATTTTACTAAAACGTACAAATAAATATTTAAAACATGCATCGAATAACTAAACAACCCGGCTCGATAATGTCAGCGGGTCAAAAGTGATGCTTCCATGCAATATTATGTGTTTTACCCTCTGATTGGTATATGGTTATAAAGTTAATAAATTAAGTGAGGTAAAATCATATATAAATAACACATTGTAAGTGGATAATATTTAAAATAAATACCACGCCAAGGAAAATGTTGTTAACATAGGCTTTTACTTGAGAGAAGTTACTTATGTTCATTATTTGAGCATAATGACATCTACAAGCTTTAAAGATGCATAGATTTTATCTTATCAGAAACACAGCGTTTTAACTCTCTATCTTTACAATGAGCATATTCAATGTTTTAATTTTGAATAATATTTTAGATCTGTGTACTACAAGTAAAGTTAATTCTTTGAATCACTTAAATCATTTTCTTGTTCCCTTTAGATTTCTGGTTCCCTTTAGATAAGTATTCTCCCTCACATAATTCTTCCTCTGTTATACAGGATGCTTCTATGACTATTCAACCAATTGATGTTTTAAGAGCGAATGTACATCTCTGGTGATTAGAGACAAACTTGTGATGGCCATATGCACTAGTTTATCGAACAAAAACATGACAACCATTTTGTTTTCTAGATGCATCATGCAGTCAAATTGTAGGTTAAAAATGTTGCTTATGTAAATGTAAAAAATGGTAGTTACACTTGATCAAACAGTAATAGTACCTACTGGCGTTTAGGAAATTAACATTACAAAAAAGTGAACATCTTCATTAATTTCAGGATAAAGTTCATTGCCATTGACAGAGAGAGTGGCGTACATAAGATTGGATTTTCTATCACAATTAAAACTACAGGCAAGGAAGACAGGGTTATATATGAAGGCTCTGCACCAGCATCGATTTCAAATGTACTTTGGTTTGCTTACATTCATATTGCATTAACAAGTGTTTTTTAGAGAATTAATGAAATATGCAAATAACGAAATGTTTTTAGTTAAAATTTTACACAAGCATATCGGTTATGTTGCGGTCGTTTGTTGTTTTTTGTTAGCTCACCTGAGCTACCTCAGGGTGAGCTTTTAGGATCGTTGGATGTCCGTCGTCTGTCGTCCGTCGTCCGTCCACACTTGTTCGTTGAAACTCTAGCGGTCATATTTTTGACTCAATTATCATCAAACTTTGTCAGAATGCTCATCTAGGTAATAGCTCGGATGAGTTTGAACATGGGTCATCTAGGATGAAAAACTAGGTCACATGAGCTAAAAATAGAAAAGCCTTAATAACTCTCTAGCGGTAACATTTGCCTCAATCATCATCAAACATGGTCAGGATGCTTGTCTAGATAATAACTCGGATGAGTTCGAATATGGGTTATTTCGGATGAAAAACTAGGTTACAGGAGCTTAAAATAGGAAAACCTTGTTACCATTCTATTGGTTACATTTTTTACTCAATTATCATCAAACTTGGTCAGGATGCTTGTTTTGGTAATTGCTCAGATGAGTTCGAACATGGATCACATCGGATGAAAAACTAGGTCACAGGAACTTAAAATATATAAACATTGTTAACACTCTAGTTGTCACATTTTTAACTCAATTGTCATTAAACTTGGTCAGGATGCTTGTCTAGGTAATTGCTCGAATGAGTTCTAACATGGTTGATCTCCTATGAAAAACTAGGTCACAGGAGCTAAAAGTAGAAAAAATGTTAATACTTAGGTGTATACTGTTTTGATCTAAGTATCCTGGAAATTTGTCTGAAAGTTTGTTTTGGTGATTTCTAGGTCAAGTTCAAGTAAGGGTCACATAGGTTCAAAAACAATGTCACAACGCCCAAATATAGAAAAACCTTGATAACACTCTAGTAATCACATTTTTAACTCAGTTATCATCAAACTTGGCCATGATGCTTGTCTAGGTAATTGCTCGGATGAGTTCGAACATGAATCATATCGGATAAAAAACTAGGTCACAGGAGCTAAAAATAGAAAAATATTGTTAACACTAGTGGCAACTGTTTTGATCCAAATATCCTGGAAATTGGTCTGAAAGTTTGTTTTGATGATTTCTAGGTCAATTCGAATATAGGTCACATGGGGTCAAAAACTAGGTCACACTGCTCAAATATGTATAATCCTTGTTAATACTCTAGTGGTCACATTTTTGACTCACCTGTCATGAAACTTGGTCAGAATGCTTGTCTATGTAACTGTCTAGGTAATTGTTCGGATGAGTTTGATGTGTCAGGTGAGCGATCTAGGGCCATCTTGGCCCTCTTGTTTAGATAAAGATGACTTTATAAATGCAGTTACAACATTTTACATTCATAGACACTTTTTTCTTTAAATTCTCATACAAGGATATGTTGTTTGGTCTTTTTTCAGTCCATTGATTACCCATGTTTTGTGATAGAAGGGATGTGTTTTAAACCGTACCAGAATTTATATTTGGATAACTGCTGGTTCATGGTTAGCAAGAGTGATCTTGACAATAGTATAGCTTCTGTTAAAGTTTATGCATATAACCAAGCCCTACTAAATAAATCCGTGACGTTTGACGTAAGTACCCAAGAAAGATAAAAAGTAAACAAATATTGACGATTATTGTGATACAAATTTAAATAAGATAAAGAAACATATGTGATTGACCATACAGTATGGCCAATAAAATCAAATAAATATAGTTTACAATTTTCCTTTGAGTAATTTAGATCCACATATGAAATAGATTGTGAAGAGAGTATTGTAATGCCAAGCTAAACTAGTGTATGTCTAAAATGTGTAGCTTGATTTTGTTTTGAATGTCTTCAAGCATATAATGAATGCTTAAAACACGAATTCGTCCTAAAGTTAATCTTAAGCTCAAATACCCGTCAAATTTAAAAATTCTTTTACGTTTATTTTTTCAAAAGCTTTCTATATTAATATTTTGATGTTCTGTTATAGTTTCCAAAATGATACTGGTACTCATTGCCGTTTTTGTTGCTTTTTTGATAGTCTATAGTACATTTATAGTGATTTAGAATTTTTATAGAAGTCAAAATACTACTTTGTTTATGATTTCACACACAGCATTACTTTTACATCTTACATGCTCTAAAACCATATTTTAACGTTATGATACTCATATTTATTCTTTTTAAGTAGGAAACAATATTCGTTTCTAAGACATAATGTGCCTTTAAAATGAATACTATAGATAAAGAAATCCTTCCTTGCATTAAGACACGACGAAATCGTTTTCTTTTATTTACAATACATACTTACCAATAGGAAACAATTTCTTACATTTCAAATTTCTTACATTTTTAAATGTTATTCAAGACAAAATCCTTTCTAACATTTATAATAAATACTTTACATGACATAAATCATTCTTCACACTTGTCGTAAATGCTATGCATGATCAAATATTTCCTTAAATTTAGAATCAATGCATTACACAACAATCTTTCTTACATATAGAGTAAATATTTAACATGTCGAAATCCTTTCTAACGTTTGTTTGCTTAATGGAAAATATCATTAAATCCTCAGAATTTAGGAGAAATAAATGCGTAATCTGGCCTTACATTTAAAATAAGTGCTTTACATGACGAAAGCATATAAAGAAAACATGCGTAATGGTTACAATAAATGTTAACCACGACGTAAGCCTGCCTAACGTTTTAATAAATAATATACATTTAAAATATACGCGTACTATGCATGACTAAATCCTACTTTACAATTACAAAAAACGTGCACGACAACAATCTTTCCGTTCATAAAGAACAAAAAAAAATACACAGCGAAATACTTTCTTGCTTACGAAGATCTTAGCTCGTAACAGGAAGATGTATAAGCCTCGGAAAAGATCTCGCCGTGGCTTGGATTTGTCATCATTCAGGATGACGGACTGAGCTATTATTAACCATTTTGGTTATAAATCAGAAATCATTCCGTTTTTTGAAGCAAATTTCAGAAGGTAAGCATCCCAGACAAGTCTTAATCATATAAAGATTTTTGTGCGTAACAGAAAGATGCAAATGTATCCGAAAACATCCCGCAGTGATTAAAAATTACATATGATCAAACTTTCTTTTGAAATAGAATAAATGCTACACGTGACGAAATCTTTCATTACGTTTAGAATAAATATCACATATGATAAGATCCTTCCTTACAATTAAATGATACCTAGCCCGAAAACTTTCATTACAACATCTATAAGAATACACACGACGAAATCTTTCTTTAGTTTTACAACAATGTTTCCCGCAACGAAAGTCTTATTACACCCGACATAATCCTTCCATACAATGAAATTAATGCAATACACGACGAAATACTTTTTAAAAAAAACTAAATAAATACTGCACATAAGCAAATCATCCCTTACATTTAAATATATCACACACGACTAAATCCTTCACTAGATTTTGATAAAATGTTAAACACAACGAAAGTCTTTTTTGTCACTATGAATATATGCTTTACAAAATCCATATTGCTGTTGACGAAATCACTTCTTACATTTTTCGAATAAATGTTACATTCAAAATAAATGAACGTAACAAAATATTTTCTTATCATTAGAATAAATTTTGAACACAAAATATCTATCTTGACATATTTTGGCTTCCTCAGTATTGCATTGCATTGCATTGTTGATATTTTCAGATTGGACCTGTGAAAAATCTTCAGGGAATCGAAAAATGTGAGTTTTGTGAAACTTTGTTTAAATTTGTTAAACTGTTAATATCATTTTCTATTTTATTATTTTTATAAAGGATATACACACATATTGAATCATATTGTTGTAAAATTTAGATCCTGAAAATATACGTATAGAATCTCCAACCACAGACGGCTTCCGTGTCGCCTGGGACATTCCTAAGACTGCATCCTGTTATGAAAAGACGGAAACAGTATTGATTCTCCTTAAAAAGGTAATGTTACTGTAATGATTTCTTTTGTTCTTGTTTTTCTTTCATAAGAGGAAAATATGAAGAGTCATACTTATAGATAAATTCTATTCAAAATTGATCACAAATTCATAAAAAGAATGGTTTTACCTAAAGATTTAGAGTTAGATTAATGCAACTTCTAACTTAAGCAGTAAAGTTTGCTTTTTTTCTTTCAAAAGTGATAAGCATCCTTCTGTTAGTATTACAGTTTTCTTTTTTTTATGTCACTGCAGCATATGCGATGCGGTAGCATATATCGATTCACCTGTGTGTGCGCGTGTTTTTTTTTTTTTTTTTTTGTTTTTTTAGGGAGGGTTTTTTCTTTTTATTGTATATTGTATATAGTTGCGTATAAGGGTGCATTTGCTCGACATCGGTTAAAGTTTTAAGAAGAACGTTTGTGCAACGTTATATCTCACCGTCCACTACAGATTATTGTCTTGTTATTTCACAAACAAGGAAGAATTTACTTGGTTCATGTTTTACATGCAACACCAATCTTCAAAACAATTGGAATTATCTCTTAAAACGTCTCTTTCGGGTCATAATTGAGGTCATAATGCAAGGCATTGATTTGAACTTGGATAAAGTTTGGCATCCAACATCAATTTAACACTAGATACATACTTGATTTAAACTTAAATCACGTCTTAAAAATCATAATTGGAGGTCATTATCTAAAACCCATTACTCTGAATTATGGCCCTTTGTGAACATAAAATATTTTTTGTTTATGTTTTACATGCAACATTTATTTTAAAGATTCATGGTTATATTCACTAACAACTTAAATCCATGTTTTCGAAATAGAATTGAGATCACTTTTTAAAAGCTATAGCTTTTTCGTTGTTTTTAAATGAAATGCGTCCTGTTTAGCTTACAATTTGCTTTGTTCAATATAATTCAAGAATCATATCTATGTTTTTTCATTGTTCGGGATAAAATCATTTTCTTTGTTAAGTCTTACACAATCCAAGATCTTCAATAGATATTTGGTCTTTAATTGCTTAAATATGCATATTATGAATATGTCTAATGAAATTATCAGAAACAATTTGAACATTGAATTTAAGAGATCATCATGGTACTGTAGATTCTTGTTATGTCTCTTCCTTTACAAAGACAGAGAACGTTTTTATAAGTCATTCTTATTTAACTGTTTCACATTACAAAGGATGGCAAAGATCCGATCCAGACATATTATACTTCTGGTTCAAGCAAATATTATGATATCACTGGTCTTGATAGTGCCACAGAATACCAAGTCAATTTCGGAATGAAAATACCACAAGCTTATGCAATTCAGCAAACATATATTTCATTACCTGCGGAAACAGGTAGGGCTGCGCCTTCATATATTTGATTTATATGAACGCATTTCTTTGAATATTTCTATAACAAGATGATAATTATTTTAAGGCGCACTTATTTTCAAAAATAATATAAAAGAATATGTTCCAGATTTTAAAAAACGTTAATATAACTTTTGTTTGCAAAATGGTAAAACCTGTTGTTATTGAAGATGTGTATATGAACGAGAGCGTTCATGACCATGATTCTTTGCCAAGCTTTCTCCTATATGTCATGTCATGAACTTACAAATTTCCTTTGCTATATTAGAAACTCTTTACCATACATGTATGTTTTTTTGTATATATTTGCACCTTAAGTACATTTGCTTCACACCAAAATGAAAGCATATTAGTTTGCTTAGCTCTTACCAACGAAAGTAAATAATAGAATGATAGCATATGATGTGCTTGGACATACAAAGGATAAATAGTAAAATTGTTTTTGTATTTTCTATTAATATCTTAGGATCAATTGAGGGACCTGCTGTAGCAGAAAGTAACATAGGACTTATAATAGGGGTGATTGTTGGTATGTAACGATGTTATGTATACTCTTAAAATTGTTTTGTTTGCAATACTGTTCACTTTGTCTAATTAATGTTGTTTATGAATACATTCTTAAAATATTGATAACATGTGAATTATTTAGTTAATAATTATTAACACTGAATGGTTAAAAACAATGTTTATGGTTCATTTAACGACATTACAATAATCTAATGGGGATTGTAAACAAAGTAAAAAGACAGATATCAAGCGAAAGTTATTGAAATGTTTTTGTTACCGAATACAACAATAGAAGAAGAATACCTTTTTTGTAAATTTACTATTTATATGATAAATATTATAAATGATAATTCTCAGCTTACATTGTTTTCTTAAATGCACGTGATGGCATTCCATGCATACCACGTTCCTATTGACTTAGAAATAATGATATGTTTTTGCCATATAGGTATAGTGGTTCTTCTAGTTGTCGTTATTGTTGTTATGATCTTCCTAATCAGACGTGGCAAAAGGTTTCGAAGTGTTCGGAGAGCCATCACCCAGAGGGTAAGAAACACAACACACAAAGGACATGCAGAACCAAGAGGAAAAATGGATTGTGATGTAAGATATTCGTTTAAGCTAAGCACATAGTTATAAGACATTTGATAAAAAAATAAGTTAATAAGTTTTGCATGTTTTTTTACATGTTTCTCATGTGTGTTATTTCTTACTCCTATTTTAGAACCAGGAAAGTGAATTGTATATGTTCGGTGGTATGGATGTGCAAGCACCACAGCTATGGCACGTAAACAGGAACGATATTACTTTTGAAGCATTGATCAAAAATGGACACTTTGCTAACATCTATAAAGCTAGACTTAAATCCGGAAGAAATTCTGTAGATCTAGTTGTAGCAAAAACATTAAAAGGTATTTCTCAAACTAAGTAGGAAAGAAATGCAATTTTGTAACATGTTAAAATTATTTCGCTGAAAGGCATTTATCATGAATTTCAATACTAAATATGTTTTTTTTATAAGATGATTTTTACATTTATGTGCATTCTCAAAAGGCGTAATGGTTAAATATAATTAAATTTTATGAAATTTGAAATATTTTCCTTTTTAAATAGAACAATTTACACCTGAAGACGAGTCACTTATGAAAGCTAAAATCAATTTCACTGTTGAGAAAGTCGGAAGTCATTCCAATGTCCTGGAGTTTATTGGCGCTGTTGTACATGATGATACTAGTAGGTTTCTTTGTTTGCTAATAGCTTGTTAATCATGATATAATTCTCATCTTATTGATACAAACATTATTGTTTGACTCTTACCTATTTTTTTTTAAGATAACGGAACACTGGTTAGTTAAGATATTTTTAACTATTATTTGAAAATAATACATTCAGTTTTTTGGAATAAACAGAAATTAAATTGGACACCCCTGTAGTTAACTGGTCCTAATAAATCAAATGTTTAAATATTGAAAAGACTCAGTGGACTTCTGTAAAATATCACATGCACGTGCCAAAACAAATCAGTATGATATCATTTAATTTGATAACGCATAAATTGGTAACGTAATGCAGCATCATAATTGCTGATATGTCCATATTCTTTCCGAAGTATTCCATCTAGTTCATGTCAAGCTACCCACTTAGTATCTGAGACGTACTTGAATTCACAATTTCTCTGCTCAGTTATATTTCCATAAGACATCCATGGCTGAGTTGTTAAGGTCGTTGACTACATATCACTTGGGCTTCACCGCTATTGGTTCAAATACCGCTAGGAACGTTGGGTTCTTTCGTGTGAGAAGCTTTCCAGCTAGATTAAGGAACGTCGGTGTTTCTGTTTCTACTCGTTGCCCGTCCCTGCCTAATATAATACTCGGAGGAGCACCTGAGGTCTTCTTCTGCCAGTAAATCTGGAGAGCCGCCACATGACCTCACTGTGTTTGTACGATGTAAAACCCACCAATATATTTCCAGAGTTTAAACTTTCTGAAATACAGCTAGGCGCTTGTCTGTATTAGTTTCATTTCCATGTATGGTTGGGGATACTTAGGTCGCGTGTGTTAGTTTTGTAAAATGTTTTTGGAAGGAGTTGCAGGAGAACCACACCTCAGGTCTATATAAATGTTTTTTTATATCTAATGTATGTATAATCTCTTGAAATAACATTTCTGATATTTCATCATTTCGTCATCAGCAACCTCTGATATTCTTGCATTACTGAAGCGACAAACGAGATGATCCACTGAAGCAATGGTACTCTCACATCGTGTCTATCATCACATGGTGCTGTGGGTCTTTTGATGAAACAATGCGCCGAAATGACTAGACGATGTACCATAGTAATAAAAATGTGATTAAATGACAGGACAATGCGTAAAGCAGGAATGAGCCGATGCACTGAAGCGGCAAGGCACACTAGACGGATTGATTTGCAGTAGCGACATGAGGAAAACCAAAGTGACGAGCCAATGTGGCAAAGTGAGACTGCAAGGTACAAAATAAGCCGATGCTTTAAAGCAAACAGACAATATACCGAAACGACCGACACAGTTTGACAATGCGCCGAAGTGACGAAACATTGCGGTGTAGTGAAGTGATGACAACACAACAAGACGATGCTTGGAAGCCTCAATGCGCCAAGGAGACAAATAGATTACACAAAAAACGATTCCCTGAAGCAACATGATTTATTATTGATGATACACTAAAGAAACAAGCTGTTGATACGATAATGCAATGACACACACAATGGTGATCTATAAGGAAATGAAGTAACGAGAAAATAACTCAATGACGAATGAAGACAATGAAGAATTCTGAAGCCGCCAGGCGATAAGCCTAAGCGATGAGGCCATACATCCAAACGGGACGGGGCGACAGGATATAGCGATAGAGCAACGAGACGATGCAAGGGCACAATATTCTTATTGCAAATTTGTATCGTCGGTTGTCACTTCGGCATGTTGTGTTGTTAATTGTGGTAATATTTGGTCGTGTTGGCTTATCATTTTTGAGCGTCGATGTGAAGAAACAATGGCCTAATTGGAACACCATTGAGACCAGTGCGTTTTATGTTTGCTTTCAGCGATTATCCACTGCTTCCAGTTAAACATTTTGGGAGACATATTGTTGTTGGTGAATTTATGATTTTAGCACCTTCCGTATTGAAGTATATACATATTTTACATATATTTTTACCAAGAAAGAATGACTATTATGAATAGTTTTAACATGTTCTTATCTTAAGTTTAGCTTATAAAGATGGTTTCATATACCATGATTATTGTTATTCAGTGGGGCCATTTATGATTTACGAGTACTGCGAGAATGGAATATTGAGGGATTACTTAGTCGAAAGAAAAGACAACGTTTCCATGGAATTAAAAGGAAACCTTTTCCAATTTGGTCTGGGCATTGCTAAAGGAATGGAATTTCTATCTGGAAAGGGGGTATGGTATTTATAACCTCGTTGTTAATCATACTTTATGGAGGATATTCGTTTGTATTGCATGTAAAATTGAAATTTCTAAACACGATGCAATCTAGTAAAAATGTAACACAAACGAACTTTACTTTGAACTTATACATGTATATGAGACAATCAGATTTTTTATGCTCCCACAAAGTGCGGGGCATATAGCGTTGCACTTGTCCGTCCGTCCGTCTGTCCGTGCGTCCCGAACTCTTGTGAACGCAACTCCTCTTAAACCGGATGGCAGATTTTGCTTAAACTTCCAGGGATGAACAACCTTAATGTGTAGATGGTATTAAAGGAAGGAATTTTCGCTGCAACCAAATTTAACAGAATTATGGCCCTTTGTTGATTTTTTCACTATATACTATGTAGAAATTTTGCGAACGCAACTCCTCTTAAACCGGATGACAGATTTTGCTTAAACTTTAAGGGATGAACAACCTTAATGTACAGATGGCAGTAAAGGAAGGAATTGTCGCTGCGACAAAATTTAACAGAATTATGGCCCTTTGTTGATTTTTCACTTTATACTATATATATGTTGTCGGTGGAGGCATCCGTGTCCATTAGACACAGTTCTAGTTTCACTTTGTTTTATATGCTTTGTTAGTGATTATAAGTTTTATTGACTGATATCTACTTTATCAAATCATGAAGTCCCAATTTTCTTGTTAAAAAATATATACTTTAGTAATAAAAATTCGAATTCTGTTTCATTTTATGTGTTATGTGTTATGCTACATTTATGTGCTTTCTATGACGGAGTGCTTTCCTGGCGAAATTTTCAATCGTTGATGATATTTTGTTGTCATCCTCAAGATATAATTTCACTGTCTACTGAACGTTTGTGATACGCAAACAATATACATAAACACCGTTCCATTTAAACATAATATCCGAGGAATTATTTAGTATCTTAAATTAGGCAAATCTCAAATTAGGCTTGATGATATTTTGTTGTCATCCTCAAGATATAATTTCACTGTCTACTGAACGTTTGTGATACGCAAACAATATACATAAACACCGTTCCATTTAAACATAATATCCGAGGAATTATTTAGTATCTTAAATTAGGCAAATCTCAAATTAGGCAAAACGAAAAGTAAAAGGCCTATGAACTTTCAAAAGAAAAAATTAGTTTATATAAAAATAACAGATAACCATTGAGATACATGCATCCATGGACTCGTGAAAACTTTGGTTGGACGTAATTGACCCGAGTGATTCAGAACATTCTAATAGTCAAGAGTACTATTCGTTCTGGGTCGGAATATTGCTACTTCGTCGTAGAAAAAAGATATTCCATAATATACATGCATTAGCACAAAACATCTAATCGTAATACACTTTGCCGATTTACCCTACTTAGAGCCCTACCTAAATGTTTCCAATCAAAACTTTGAATTTGCAAAAGTCATTACAGTCATTATTAAATTATTAAACAGGTCCTGCTAACATTTAATAAATCCAAAAATCCAAATTAATTTTTGCAAGTAAAAGCAGATTTACCTCGACCAAGAATCTTTTTGAAGATAGTTCTTGTCCCAGTATTCTGACTTGAATACTGTATAATACGTGCTTTGTAAATTTGTCTTTTGACAGCTTGTCTATAAGAAGGCTTTATAACCTCTGATGCCCTTCCAAAATTCCATTTTATTTGGTTTCGCCAATTCTTTTTTCGTGTAGGACACAAGCATACTTTTTACTCGGGGGACCATTTGCCGCTTTTCATTGAATGACACGAACGTGTCACATTGAAGGTTACATGAACGCATCTGCAGATGCTTCTAAATTCAACATTTCATCATTTTATGTACTGCTTAAGCCGGTGCTTGGAAGCATAAACGATATCTTGCACCTTCCAGTACCGTCCATGCACAGACTCATGAGAAATATGATATAGGTACACATTTTGATGGCGGTCAAATTAAAATTGTAGTCTTAATTTTTACCATGGATGACAAATTTCTACATCATTAGTATAAGCATTTCTTCAAAGTTTAATGATAACCAAGTCAAATGTGTTTCCTTAAGACTGTTAACAAGGATTTTCTTTACTTTTAAAACGTTTTGCCTTGATATGCGTGATATGGCTTGAAGTTCATAAAACATCTACTTATTTGAATTTATATCAACATAGTACGGCATTTCAATTTTTTTCACGGATCAGTGTATATTACAAAATGTACATGTATTTCAAGTTCATATTACTTGAAATAAAATCAGTCAGCCTGAAACAAATTGATATTATTAGCTCTGAGATATATAATACAGATGAAAGTTAATGGATGTCAATTAATGACAGATCCTCTCACGCTTTCTTAGTTAATGACATATCAAATTTACGTACAGTCATTTAGTAAATTCTTTTAAAAGGGCCGATAGAACTGTAACAAAAACAATTTCAAACGACTTTATAAATCTTAAGCACTCCTTTCCTTTTAAGCTTACCGGAACCGAAGGTTCAGGGTGAGCTATTAGTATCAAAGGTGGATACTCCGGCGTCCGTCGTCTGCGTCAACAATCACCTTTCTTCTCTGAAACTGATTGGCAGATTTAACTCAAATTTGGTCTGTAACATCCTTGAGACAGTCACATTTAAATTTGCTCCTGTCATTTCAATTGCCCCCTTTAAGGGGTAAACAGAGCTAAAAAAGAAAAAGCTTTAAATATCTTCTACTCCTAAATTAAATGATAGGTGATCACCAAAATTTGTCTGTAGCATTCTTAGGTAGGCTTTTATCAAGTTTGCTCATTTTAATTTGATTGGCCCCTTTCAGGGGTCTCTAGAGCTAAAAATAGAAAAAAAACCTTTAGACATCTTCTACAGATCTAATTGATGGATGATCACCAAACTTTGTCTGTAGCATTCTTAGGTATCTTTTTATCAAGTTTGTTCATATTAATTTGATTGGCCCATTTTTCGGCCGCTATAGCTAAAACAGAAATACATTTTAACGTTTCCTACTACAGAACTAATTGATGGATGATCACCAAATTTTGTCTGAAGCATTCTTAAGTAGTGTTTTATCAAGGTTGCTCATATTAAAATGATTGGCCTCTTTTAGGGGCCGCTAAAGCTAAAAATAGAACAACCCACGAACATCATCTCTTACTGAAATAATGGATGGATAATCACCAAACGTTCTCTGTAGCATTCTCAGGTAGTCTGTAGCATTCTTACGTAGTATTTTATCAAGTTTGCTCATATTTTTTTGATTGCTTCCTTTTTGGGGCCGCTATTTAAAGCTAAAAATAGAAATATCTTTAAACGTTTGCTCCTACTGTAGCAGCCTTAGGTAGTCTTTTCTGAAGTTTCCTCGTAGTAATTTGATTGACCCCTTTTAGGGGCCGCTCAAGCTAAAAATAGAAAAACCTTTGAACATCATTTCTACTCAAATAATTAATGGATAATCTCCAAATTTTGTCTGTAGCATTTTTAGGTAGTCTTTTATCAAGTTTGCTAATATTAATTTGATTGGCCCCTTTTAGGGGCCGCTAAAGCTAAAAATAGAAATAACTTTAAACTTCTCCTTCTACAGAACTAATTTATGGGATGATCTCAATTTTACATAGTATCATAGGCACACACTTGAAACAAAGCCTTTCCAACATATTAGGGCAAAATACTTGAAGAATGAAATGATTGGTTAGATGAGTGATTTAGGGCCATCTTAGTGGCCCTATTGTTTATTATGAAGAACAACACAATCAGTGTTTTTATGCCCCCACAATGTGGGTGCATATAGTGTTGCACTTGTCCGTCCGTCCGTCCGTCAGTCCGTCCGTCCGTACGTCCCGAAATCTTGTGAACGCAACTCCTCTTAAACCGGATGGCAGATTTTGCTTAAACTTACAGGGATGAACAACCTTAATATGTAGATGGTAGTAAAGGAAGGAATTTTTGCTGTGACCAAATTTAAGAGAATTATGGCCCTTTGTTGATTTTTTCACTATATACTATATAGAAATTTTGTGAACGCAACTCCTCTTAAACCAGATGACAGATTTTGCTTAAACTTACAGGGATGAACAACCTTAATGTGTAGATGGTAGTAAAGGAAGGAATTTTTGCTGCGACCAAATTTAACAGAATTATGGCCCTTTGTTGATTTTTTCACTATATACTATGTAGAAATTTTATGACCGCAACTCCTCTTAAACCGGATGGCAGATTTTGCTTAAACTTACAGGGATGAACAATCTTAAGGTGTAGATGGTAGTAAAGGAAGGAATTTTTGATGCGACCAAATTTTACAGAATTATGGCCCTTTGTTGATTTTTTCACTATATACTATGTAGAAATTTTGTGAACGCAACTCCTCTTAAACCGGGTTGCAGATTTTGCTTAAACTTACAGGGATGAACAATCTTAAGGTGTAGATGGTTGTAAAGGAAGGAATTTTCGCTGCGGCCAAATTTTACAGAATTATGGCCCTTTGTTGATTTTTTCACTATATACTATGTAGAAATTTTGTGAATGCAACTCCTCTTAAACCAAATGGCAGATTTTGCTTAAACTTCCAGGGATGAACAACCTTAATGTGTAGATGGTTTTAAAGTAAGGAATTTTTGTTGCGACCAAATTTAACAGAATTATGGCCCTTTGTTGATTTTTAGTTTTCAACTTGTGGCACATGTAGTCCAAAAAATATTTGACCTAGAGTCATAAGATTGACAGAACAGTGGCGTGTGGGGGCATCCGTGTCCTATGGACACATTTCTAGTTTCTTTAATTTATTTTATCAAGACTAAGACCTCTGTTGCCGCGGTGGTTTTGGTCTCTTGCTACGAATCATTTGATCTGTATTACTGTTGGTTCTAATCACGTAAGGACCTTAACTTTCACGTGGTAGTGTTTAAATGCACGATGTTAGGTCTTCTTCCACAATGAAGATGGAAAGTAGTCATATGATCTTTACATGAACGGTGCTTTTCAAAAGCCAACAAACCACTGATTTCTAAAGTTTGCACATATATTTATGGACGATCCTTTTTGGAGTTGAATATAAATACTATTAGGGACAAACCAAGCTTAAATAATGAAAATCATAAAGTATCTTTATTTTTTCTTACATAATTAATATTAATGTGGTTGATGCAGAACCATATTTTACAATATATTAACATACATACGTTTGTTTATTTGGTATTTTAATTATATATAAGTGTTAAATGCGTATACTTAATTATTCAAGATTGTTCATCGGCGTTTGGCTGCTCAAAATATTCTTCTGAATTCCCAAAACGAGGTGAAAATTTATGGCTTTGGACCACAGTCTTTGGAAGAAGAAGAAGAAGGAGATGCTGAAAAAGGAGAGATGGTAAAATCTTAAATAGGAAATTTAGACAAAAATAGGACCTATCAGGATTCGATGATGTTTACAGTGTAATTAGAAAATGATAATTATTCTCGGTTTATTCAAAATTTTACGACGCGGTCCGTTGCTATGAAAAATCGACCGGAAGTAGTATTTCCCCGCATATGCGCAATCTGCGTAGGGCAAAAAAGCATAGAAATATAGAAGAAGTTCATAGAATATTCAGAGTTAGTTTAAGGTAAAAGGTAGAAAATTATATAAAATAGCTTTAAACAAAAAAAGAAAAGATTCCTTTATAGCTTTGTTACCAAGATTGTCATAAAAAGGCATGGAAAAGGAAATTGTTTAAGAATTCCCCCTTACGGCGGGCCCGCTTACGGTCACAAATGGAAGTCAACTAAATTGTTGTTGAAATAGTTCATTAAAAGATAAAAGAAATTTTATAACATATGAAATCGATGTAAATTAGCATTCTGAAAATAGTCAGAACAGCCCCGGTGATAATGCATTTTTAGTGTTCAGTTTTCCTGATTTTATCCTTTATTTGACTGCGATGCAAAACAGATAATTTTTAAGTCACATAAAAATATTTTAAATAGTATTTTTTTTCAAAAACTTAAAGCTTCAAAATCTTAAAGCTTAAGGTAAGTGAAATAACACTCATTTTATCCGGTTCCTCGTAACACATGTTAATATTTTTTAATGCAAGTCACACTAATTGTCACTTCACAAATCAATAAACATTGATATAAAAGTTACTTAAATTACGATTTTCATAACTGTACGTGATTAACTATGTCATGGTTCTAAAACGTACCGGTTGAATGATCTTTATACAATATCTAGCTGGAAACAAACAACCTCGGTCGCGTGGCAATCTGTTTGACACTTACCGCCTGGCCAATCCAAAGGAAGTGTACAATACACATTGTGTAATATTGTGTAATACAGGGGTAATATAATTTAATCTTAAACACCCTGCTGTTTAAATTTAAATTACGGATGAAAAAGTCGTCTAATGATACCTTAAACAGACGACTTTTGTATGCGCCTTTTGACCATTAGATTACTAGTCCTGCATATTTATTATATCTGTTATAAATATCAATTGACGTTTTAAGTACTTACCGCTTTAAGTCATCCCAAAATTACTGTTCTTGACTATTAAAGCCTTAAAGTATCATACACTGTTGTCAATTTTATTGCGCTTTTGCCCTACGCAGAATGCGCATGCGCGAAATGCAACATTGGTTGCTATGGAAGAATCGTATTGTAAAAAGTCTATAAATGTTGAATTCTGCTTAGCCGGTGCTAGAGGGCGAGGACGGTAGATTGCACTTGACAGTACCGTCCATGAACAGGCTCAGTCAAAATAAGCCTGCAACATTTTTAATTTTGCAGTTTTGTACTTTCTTTATTGATTCTTATTTTCTCTGTTTTATTGATTTATTTTAGGAGAACAAAGTATTAAAATGGATGGCGCCCGAGTGCATGGAATCTTTCCGTTATGCAACAGAAAAAGGTGATGTTTGGTCATTCGGTGTAGTTTTGTGGGAAATTTTCTCCCTAGGTAGGAATTAACGAGATTTGTTTACTTATTGTTGTTGATTTTTTCCAGAATTTTTGTGTGTAACATTACAGTGTTATAGTCATCTGCTTTTTGCAGTTTAACTTGATTTCCCAGTTATTAATTCACAATTTCACTTCCCTTCGCGTCGCGTAACAGTGACAATGTGCATAAATATGAAGCATTTCATATGCTCAGTTAACTGTATTATAATGTCCTATAAAATAGACTTAAAGTGCGAGATAAACATACTCGATTTTTTCTTCAGAAATCATAATACACAGTCTTTTTTGTAACATCTTGAAATATGACTTCTTTTTATGCAAATTATATGCATGTTTGTTTAATTTTCTGTCATTCATTGAATCATACCTAAATAAAAACATTTATAGATGTACTTTTTTGCTAGGGGACATACCATATCCTGGAAAAGATATTGATCTCCCAAAACGACTGGAGGAAGGAGAACGCCTTGAACAGCCAGAACACTGTGATGACACGTAAATATCCTGTTCACAGTTTTTATTCATACTCATAGCAATGCATCATATTTTTGAAAGTAGGCAAAATGTTAAGCAAGTACAATGTCTATGAAAATACGCAGCTAATCCTATGTTTCATTCTTTATTTTTATTTTCAATTTTAACTACGTGTACTAGTACATAACACTGTCCAATTATAGTCTAAGCATTCTTATATTGCAGATGGTATGCAGTCATGAAGAAATGTTGGTCATATGAAGCAAGTAAAAGACCGACATTCGAGTCTGTTAGACAAGAACTGGATAATCTGCATACAGCGGCAAATTATGTCATTCTGATAAACCCAGACTTAAGTCAAGAAAAGAAAGGACTAACAACAAAGAAGCATGATAATATCAATACTTTTACTGAAGACCAAGACACGTCAGAAATATAACAATCAGAAATGATTACATGACTAAGAATGCAAACAAAGTATACAATAGAAAGAAAATCGTATTAATGAGCAAATCATAGCATAAGTGAATACAACAATTCCGCACATAACAATTAAGCATCAGAATTAAAAAGCACTTTAAACATCACAATACTAAACATCAAAAAATACATCAAAGCACAAATAATACATTCACATTCCAACATTTAACATAACAAGCAATAATAAAAATGGGTGGGAGGGAGTGGCGAAGTTGAAGAACAACTAATGAAATGACTTGTACCTAAACGTGTCTTACAAAAACTGTGCAGTTTTCGCGCAATGTTGAATATTTATAGACGGTGTAAGAATACAAAAATTCAATGAACCAAAACAGTTAACCCACGTAAATACAAATGACGTCATCAACACTAATAATAGATAAGGAAAATCACACGCCAATCCATAATTAAAAGATTTTCTAGGTAGAAAATGCTGTAAATGATGATGACTTATGACCGACAAGAACTGGATAACTTGAATTAAGTGGCATATGATGATGGGTCATTTTACAGGCGATACTTGAAATTAAGATTGGATGCAATTAGTTGATTCAACTACACATATTACCGAATGCTGAGCGAAAAAGGACTTGACACATGCAAGAAAATGCATGGCTTAATAAGATTTGTGCATTTAGTAAATTGTACTGATATGACGTTAGTTGAGAAATATCTAAAGTGAAAGTTGCAGAAAGAATGATTCATTAACTTCTACGTAATTTGGAAAGATGATTGCATGCTCTAACCAGTTTGTGTTACCTGTAAATAACTTGTACATATAAAACATACATCAACATTTTATTATATTAGTATACATGCTTTTCCTAATATACACGCTGCACACGTAAGCGCTTCTGCGACTCAACGGAAAGAAAAATCCGTATTATATTTGTGACGGTACTATATAATTATGAAAGTTCCGGACTATTTTTCTCCTTTGGTTCCTATCTAAGCTGTGCATCACGTCTTTTTTGGAAACGGGTACCGATGCTACAAAGAGCTTGACTTTTTTTTGGAAAAATGATGTATTCATCCGTCATTTAGGAATATTATTTCTTGACAGCCATATTTTTGTTTGTGAAATAACAAATAGAAGTCTAGTAAATGGAATCTCTATATGTCTTAGAATTTATATAAGTATTTAATTAAAGAAAAACCGTATTGTGACAATGTATTTTGCTACTAGCAGCGTGTGAAAACCTTTGGTCACGCGAGATATCCATTTTCGCTGCCCGAAGCAAAATACAAAACCTCAGAAAGCTACTACAACATATTTTTCCGTATTTTTAACACTTGCTATGTATTAAGAATAAAATCAAATATCTACACGGTGAAAACTGATTATAATAAATCCCTGGTCATATAATATGCCAATCATTCTAACTAAAGAAAGGAGAACATAAAATAACACCATGATACAATTTTTCTTACATCACAAATGTGTTTTTTTTCCCGAATAAAATACTAGTAACATGTTTTGGCAACAAAGTTCACAATAATTTTTCTCTGACAAAATATTTTAGCTTATTCTCAGTCTCGAAATTATCAGAGCCTTCATATTGAGTTTATACCTCTGACAAAAGCTACATGTTTTTCATTTTCTTAACTCAGGAGTGGTATCTATATATCTTCATATTTCAACGTTAAAGATCCTGTAACACAATTTTTTATGGTTTCAAATAATAAATATGATACTCAAATTAAGATTTATCAATATTGTGGGTTCCAAAAAGCATTATTCATAAAGATATATCCGAATTTAACATTTCATGTAAGTAAAGGAAGGTAATAAAAATTTATTTTCTATAATGTTTAAGTCAAATTTTACGATAAGAAATGAATGCATATATTTAAATGATTACATATAATATGCAAAAATATTTGCAGTGCATATTTTACATATTCTTTGATGTTTGAAAATTGTTTTATTTGCATACTTATGTACATATATATAATTTCACTTAGTGTGGTATCACAAGATACAGGATCAGTATGTACGTATTAGTATTGGCGAAAATACTTGGCTAATGTTTGCAGGAGTCTACATTTCTATATAATAGAATCTTCTTTAAATAAATTTTAAACGAAACTTTAATTGATTGTTTTCTGTTAATATCATATATTAACAGTGTTCAGGAAATTAAAGCTAGATTGTCGATTGACGTTTCTGTATATAAGTAATAATAATAATAGATTTATTGTAAACATTATTGTAAGACTTCATATTGGAAGTAAACACATTTTACCAATCACCACCTGTGCCTCTCATCATTCACTAAGATTTATATTGGTGTATTTTGCTTTTTGTTTCGCTAATTGCTTCATTTTGAATATTATAATAAACTTTGCTTGATATAACAAACGTTAGTTGTTATTTGAATTGATTGTTTATTTTGCATGTACACGGCCAAAGAAGAATCTTCAGTTCTAGATATCAGAAAAGAGTTTATTTCACAAAAAGATAAAACAAAACAAATATTTTTCAGGGTAAAATATACAGGCTCCTAGGAAAGGTTCATTTATCGGAAGTATCATGTGCTTGTGATCTCGAGACAGAGTTCACATTGAATTGTATATGCTCGCAAGACAGGTTATGTATTATGACTCCGTTAGTCAATTTCTTAGTGTTGATCAATAAATTCATACAAATTAAAGTTTATGATTTTTGTCACAATTTGTGTACATGATTTCTACACCAATGTTATAAGTCATTTTGACTAACATGAAATTAATATTTTCTTTACTGTTTTCTTAAACATGAAAATAGTTTTATCAAATATTCACATTGTTCTAATGATAAAAATTTGTCACCTTTAGTTGATCCTCTGGTAAATCAAAAATAGCCCCTTGAAATATGATGATGATGTGCTATGCCGTGTGTGCGAATATATTGCCTTACTTTTGCACTCTTTTTATTTACATCTTAGACACAGAAGCATAAATAATTCAAATTTTAACCAATAAGCATCTTTACAAAATATCTTAAAGGGTTATGTTATACATAATCAACAGTAGAAATCTTCCCTTCAGAAATATTCTTTAAAACCATGCAATTTTCCCCTATATTTCAGTTTACATGACGTTTTTTTTCCTTTCTTCCTTTTTGCATAAATACCTTTTTACTTAATAAACAGCAGACATTTGAAAATGTCTGCTTCAGGACATTACTATGTCTATAAGTAATTTAATTAGTAAAGTGACATGTGTAAATATATTTTACAAATCAAATGATATAACATATTAAATACATCCGGGCCAACGAGTCTATAAGTCACCTTCAATAAAACATATTGTAACTGTCCGTAAAATAGTCATTATTCGTATATATAAAATATATTCGTATATTAAAATGTATACAATCTTTGTTTAATTTATAGTTCATGTGATATGTGATTTATTCTATAAATCTATCTGTAGCGTTCTCTATAGATTTGTTTTTTTTTATCAAATAGACTATTTATTTCCTGTGTCAGTCTTTGAATTAAAATCATTTGAACTATACAGTTCACCAAAATATTCAGAACGTATATGTCTATAAAATGAGCACGTTGCTTCAAAATGTTATTCGTTTTCGATACATTGAAATGTACAAAATCTACAGAGTCTATCTTGTCTTAACACGTAATGGCAGAATGCCACATCTTAGCTGTGCAAGAGGTGATCATACTCAAAGTGACATATTTTCAGTCTTATAATTTGTTTTGAATAAAGTATAAGTTCTTAGCTATCCCGATATTACATACGCTACTATAGTACTCAGTGATCTTAGAGCGTGTATAACCATTTTGTTGCTGTACACCGTGCAAATCCATATTGATACCCTCTTTGCGAAATCTACTCAAACGGTACCCTCTTTGCACATGCACTGGTCATTCTCTGCTAAAAACAAACCAGCGATGGATAACAATCCAAAGAATTTTCATTGTCACGCGGAAAGGACGTATGTCATGCGGTAAAGTAGTATACCACGGAACACTACAATGTTTTATTTATGTGTTGTTTTGTCATGTGCCCATTTTTCAAGTACTGTAACTTCACAATAAACAACATAAAATCAATATGTCGCCTCGACATAATTTTCGAACTTAAATGAACCAGTGGCATGATTATATATGCATACGAAAGTAAGGTGTTTTTATGAATTCCAAATTTATTTTTTATTATTAACTGCAATTTGTCTGAAGATGATATATGAATGAACATATGTAATATGTACTTCTAAATGAATCCAGTTTATCTATGGAAAGCATCTGGTGATCATCACCTTTACAGAGTTATTAACATAATTCAAATTTGTTCATGACAGTTCCTAGTAAAAGATTTTAATGACTACAAAGTAGACAGGAAACTTATCTGTCAGTGTTTATCTGGACGACATTATCTTAGGGGAAATCTATATAAAATGGTGTCATCATAAAATGATGAAACCCACAGTGCATCATCTGAGGAAGGGGATAAAGTGCATGCCAGGAATCAAGTAGACTACAGTAGAACTCATTCTGATTTAGCAGAAATATTTCTTAACTTAAATCCAAGACTAAATCTGAAATTTTACATTGAGTTTTAGAGTTGGTTTACAAAAATCTATCGTTCTTTCTTTGCATCAGTCCTTGATCTACTTGTACAGATATTTGTATATATAATACATGCCAACATCAAAATGTTGTTTAAAAAAAATGTTTTATTTACACTTATGATATTGAAAACTTGGACAATCAAACAATAAATATTTGGCCTTCAGATTTAAAAGTTCACAATCAACCCGTTCCAAAATGTTTAAAACATGGAACAATTTCATTTTTCTCAAACTTATTTCTATGAGAAAATTTCCTCAAAAGATGTTTTCTTCAAAAATATGACTAATGAATTAAGAAAGCAAAATTTGGAAGATATGTTGATAATCCAATGTACAGAACTTACAGAGTAATGCCAGTTTCCCATGTTAGAAAGTTCCAAACTTAGTTTTTTATAAGGACTTTGATGTACTTTTGTCAGATATAACCTTCTGACAAGTTTTCTAATATTGTGTGTCCTTTTCAGACAGAGCTGGCTGTCTCGTTTGGCCAACCATAATCATTATTTTCTAGGGCCTCACACATCATGCAGGTATATGTTAATCTAAATACCTGCACACATACCGCCAGGTTTTGCTAGTATTTTACTCTTAATGTGGCTTTTATATATAAATTTTTTTTTTGGCCAGGGTGTCTGGAAGGGGATAACCCCCCCCCCCCCCCCAGTAATCCGGGCCTGTTCAATGATAATTAAATAATTAATGCAATGAAAATTATCAATAAACTACATGTACAACATGGAAGAAGACATGCATTGTTATTTGACTTGACTTGTTATTTGATATTTGTCGGCTTATCAGTAATTAATGTGGTCAAGATGTGTGTTTTAGTAAATTGTAGCATGCACATCAGCAGCTGTGTGAACGTGTCGACAAGAATGTGAAACAACTCGAAAACAGTTTGTCTCTTTTTGTATTTTACTTTTCAGATTCCGGAATTGAATGATTTTTGCGGATTTTTATCGGATTGATATTTGGATATTTATTCTTTTCAAAACGATGTTATTTTGAATTAGCAAAAGAAGTGCAAAACATATTAGAAGCTAAAACAAAAACAACAACATAAAAAACAATAGCTTTAGTGATGTTGAAATTATTAATAAGGAAAATAACAATGAACATAATATTATGCTACATGTAGGTCAAGCCCTAGTTTTACCGATTGCGTTATTTTTGTGTGTGTGCGTGTGTGTTTGTTGGGGGAGTGGGGGGGGGGGGGCTTGTCCCGAGATCATATATAGGGGAAAATATGTTTATGATGATATTTGCCTTAACAAAGGGCAATTTTTTTTTCTTTTATATAATAAGATATTTTATATTTTCATTTTGATTTGTTTGAAAAACTAAAAAAGAAGATTTAATTAAAAAAAACTACTGTAATTTTTGTAAATCAAATATAAATCGAACCATCAGAGACATATGAGCCGTGACACGACAAAACCAACATAATGGCTTTGCGACCAGCATGGATCCAGACCAGCCTGCGAATCCGCGCAGTCTGATCAGGATCCATGCTGTTCGCTTACAAACTCTATAACAAGTAGAGAAACTGATAGCGAACAGCATGGATCCTGATCGGCTGGTCTGGATCCATGTTGGTCGCAAAGCCATTATGTTGGTTTTGTCGTGACACGGCTCAATTATATGCATCTCTGAATGATAAACAATAAAAGAACCTCCGGCGTCAGAATAATAATGTGCTGTACAAGTAGTTTAAATAATTATAATAATTTCCTTGTAACACATTCTATGACCTAGACATTTATAACGCAGTATTATTATCTCATAAGTGACAAATCAAATTTAAACACATCTGTGTACTTTATATATTGTGTGCATCAGTTGACCGTAAAATCGGTATGCTAACGCCCCCCTTAATTTGCTTGATAGGTTTTTATAACAGTTGTGACAGAAAAGGTTATTTCCCTTTAATACACTTACACCGCATTTAACACTGTAAATAACAGTTTATTTTTTAGTAAGTAACTAGACCTACTGTACTCGTTTTCTATATTTTTGTACTGACAAGAAACTTTTTAGAAAGAATGTTATACGATTGTTTTTTCTTTTGTTCATTGTACAGTACAGTAGACATATAAAATATCTTTACTTTGCAACTCAAAATTTATTTTTTCAACAAATAAGATCATGAATGATTAAAAATGATTATTGTTTCACACACAGGCGCTAGTCACAAAATCAAAAATTTTACACAACTGGTCTGTTTACTGTATGTATATTAAGATATATATCTTATTATAGTTTATATAGCCCATATAAAACTGTAAAATGTTTGTGTCGGACTATTATTTGTGTTATATTAGATCTATTTGCAGAACATATTGAAAATATTTTGCACAAAAACTTTGTTCTAATGACTAGAATATGTCAATTCTGACCAATTTAACAATAGTAACATGGAAATACGCCATTACTGTGAAAAAAATGCTGACACATAGTACATGTAAGTGATGTTGATATACAAATTGGGATCCCCCACCCACACATACTAGTATGTATTGTGTCATAGAGTTGACATTTGCAGTATTTTTTAGCTCGACTATTCGAAGAATATGAGAGCTATTGTAGTTGCCCCGGCGTCCGCGTCCGCGTCTGCGTCTTTGTTGGTTAAAGTTTTTTGTTAAGTCAAATATCTCAATCATTACTTGAGATATTCAATTGAAACTTACAATACTTATTTATAGTAACAAGGTACATCAGATTGACAAGTTGGATAACTCTGCCTACAATATTGACAGAATTATGCCCCTTTTTAACTTAGAAATTTTGGTTAAAGTTTTTTGTAAAGTCAAATATCTCATTTATTGCTTGAGATATTCAATTGAAACTTACAATACTTATTTATAGTAACAATGTACATCAGATTGACAAGTTGGATAACTCTGCCTACAATATTGACAGAATTATGCCCCTTTTTAATTTAGAAATTTTGGTTAAAGTATTTTGTAAAGTCAAATATCTCAATTATGCTTGAGATATTCAATTGAAACTTACAATACTTATTTATAGTAACAAGGTACATCAGATTGACAAGTTGGATAACTCTGCCTACAATATTGACAGAATTATGCCCCTTTTTAACTTAGAAATTTTGGTTAAAGTTTTTTGTAAAGTCAAATATCTCAATTATTGCTTGAGATATTCAATTGAAACTTACAATACTTATTTATAGTAACAAGGTCCATCAGATTGACAAGTTGGATAACTCTGCCTACAATATTGACAGAATTATGCCCCTTTGGAACTTAGAAATTTTGGTTAAAGTTTTTTTGTAAAGTCAAATATCTCAATTATTGCTTGAGATATTCAATTGGAATTTAAAATACTTTTTTATAGTAACAATGTACATCAGTTTGCAAAATTGCATAACTCTGCCTGCAATATTTGCAGAATTATTTTCCCCTTTGAAACTTAGAAATTTCAGTTAAAGGTTAAAGGTCTTCAAAGATATTGACTTGAAACTTTACACATGCACTTAGGGTCATAATTGGAGGGTCAAAATTGTATGTCACTGACCAAGTTCCATAACTCTATCTTGCATTAAGGCTGATTCATATCCCCTTTTCTACTTGTCTCTTGGTTAATGTTTACATGCAAGTTTTACATATCTCAATAACTATTAAAGATATTTATTTAAAACTTCACATATGCATTTAGGGTCATAATTGTAGGTCACTGACAAAGATCCATAATTCTATCTTGCATTTAGGCTGATTTTCTCCCCTTTTTCAACTTAGAAATTCATGGTAAAGTTTTGCTTGTAAGCTGTTATCTCAATTACTACTGAAGGGTTTGTGCATTTTTTTGGACAATTTTATGCATTCATAATAATAAAGCAGTGAGTTACTTGATAAAACATCTTAATTAGAAGCCTTTGTACCTTTTCTGTCAAATTTATGTATCCATAGGTAATTAGTATTATTATACTCAATAAAACACCCTTGTGACATTACCTTCCGAATAGTCAAGCCAATACTGTATAATTAGACTCTCTCTAAGGCCTATAACATGAATTTATAAAAAAAAATTAGCCCTTTTGTGATCTTAAAAAATTTAACATTATCAAGGCTCTTTTACTATCAAGCACTTAGAATAGTCGAGCGTGCTGTCCTACCGACAGCTCTTGTTATTTTGTTGATTTGAATGAACCACTGCCACAGCTTTTAACCCACCGTTTCACTGTTTGTGCAGAAGCTATGGTCAGTGTGATATTAAATTTCATTTAAGACTATTGTTATTGGCTAAAAAATTGTTGACGCAAGATATTACCATGTAATATCTTGAGGCCATAAGATAATAAGTTGTAGCTACATTGAAGATAATAAGTCATTACCACAAGATATTATCTTCAGGCCACAAGATATTAAGTTGTGACCACAAGATAAAATAAGAGGGCCATGATGGCCCTGAAATCGCTCACCTGTATATAGGGGCTTTTTTTAACCAACTTGGTAGACACCCATAAGAAGATGTTTCATAAATATTTAAGCTCTAGCTTTTTGGAGTTTTTAAAAGATTTTCTAAGTTTTTACTACAGACAAAGAAAGAAAATCAGATCAGGGGCGGGGCCAATTTAACACTAGGGCTTTTATTTGAACAAATTTGCTAGACACTCATTAGAAGATGTTTCATGCTTAATATCTAAGCTCTAGCTCTATGGGTTATTTAAAAGAAGATTTTTTAAGTTTTAAAGTTTTTACTGTATACGTATAAGGAAAAGCAATGACCATCCGGGGCGGGGCCAATTTTGACCCCAGGGCTTTTATATAAACAAACTTGATAAACACTCACTAGAAGATGTTTCATACCATATATCTAAGCTCTACCTCTTTGGGTTTTTTAAAAGAGGAAATTTTAACTTTTTACTATATACATTTAAGGAAAAGCAATGACCCCTGGAGCGGGGCTAATTTTGACCCCATGGCTTTTTTTTACAAACTTGATACACACTTTTTTAGAAGATGTTTCATGCCATATATCTAAGCTCTACCTCTTTGGGTTTTTTAAAAGAGGTTATTTTAAGTTTTTCTTTTGGTTGCCATGGCAACCAGAGTTCTGCATGGAATTAAATTCTTTGAACAATTTTTAAAGGCAACCACCAAAGGACCATTCCTGTGAAGTTTGGATCAAATTGGCTGAGCGGTTTATGAGGAGATGCTGTTTAATGTAAAAGTTTACGGACGGACGGACGATAAGTGATCACAAAAGCTCACCATGTCACTTTGTGACAGGTGAGCTAAAAAAACTGCAAATGTCACCTCTATATAGATGCCACCTTAGTATGCGAGTAGTTCCCATACAAAAATCATACTTACTTAAAAACTATTTTGTAATACACTCTCTCTCCAAATATTTGATTGTTACGCATAAGTATTCAGCTCCTTCAACTGTTACACAAATCACATTATGTTCTAAACATACAATAACCTGGAGTATGAGGCGTGATATAGGGTACCGAAATTATCAATCATTTTGTACACTTTTTGTGACATGTGCAAATTTCAGATATAGAGTTGAATACTGATATAAATGTAAGACATTTGGACCATGTGCACAATTCAAAAACAGAACTTTGATTATAGCTGTCAGACCAAAAGATGACCTAGTAACCTACTTTGTAAAATTTGGAACAAATGCACAAGATTAGATGCTGAATTAAATTTGAAATCACATGACACAGATTCTTACTTTATGACAACTTTCTATATAAAATTATCAGTATAATTAATTTCTGTCATTTAGGGAATTTATGGCCAGGTGAGCAATATAGGGCCATCATGGTCCTATTGTTTAGGTTTATTTATTAGAAATAAGTTTGTGTTTTTTTCTGTGTTTTCAGTATACTGGTGCCTCATATTTCCATGGTACCCATATTTCCAAGGTATAAGACATAAAGGTCTCAAGTGCCTCATAGACTTCATGCGCCTGCCAGGAGTTTTACTTCCACTTTCTTATTGTATTTTTATTGAAATGTAACATATACAACTGAGAAAACTTATTATTTTATTCAGATTAAGAGTAAAGTAAATTATTTCCACCATTTTACTTTTAGTTTTTATACCTTTTAAGACAATTGTCTTTGTTAAACAACCATTGAGATATTTGATAAATGCCATAGAGAAAATCCCCACTTTCAGACAAGGCTAGGTATAGATGTACAAAAAATAAAGATTACTAGTGGTTTTGCTTTTGAAACTGTTAACCCATTACTTCATGAGCATTTTGTGAAAAATGGCTGTTTTCATTGAAAAGTCTCCCGTTACAAGTTCAAATTGCTATAATACTATAAAAACTGCTTCAACACTAATCAAACTTGGCACAAATGTTGACTGGACCATTGCCCTTGCAACAACATGCTCAGGCTTAAATTTTCTGTTACCATGGCAACGAGGGGACATCTCAAAATTGCCAAAAATCACTATTTTGCGTTGATTTTTTCTCATCAAAATTGATTTCAAAGTGCTGCAACTTCTCGATGGATTGAGATAGAGTCAAATGCTTTTCAGTGTTGCTTACACGTTACCTTATGATCAATCTGGGGTCATTTATAGCCTCTCACAAGTCCAAAATTTTCTTGGCGATGAGGGGGACTCTGCCCCCCTTCAAACCCCCCAAACAGAAGGGGGCAACCCCCTGATGTATCTTTTCGTTGGGGGCCGCGCCAAAAAAGAGGTCACTTTTTAACAACATTTCTCAAAGCAAAAACAAGTGTTGGGGGCCTAAATGAGGCATTTTTTCACCATTTGAGACAACAAAAAGGGGGGGGGGGTGAAAAAGGCGTTAAAAGGCGTGTATATAACGTAATGGGTTAAAATGTAATTGCCTTGGAAATATGAGAACACAACTTTACTCACTTGGCAGCATATGGGTGTTAATTGCCATGTTGTGTACATAATTGTTTACATGCAAACATTAAAAGGAATAAACTATGAAGTTATTTGCATGTCTTTCCTACATTATTCAAAATATTTTCCAGAATTTTATTCTTCTAACTTTTGTTGTCTGTGTTAAACAGTTAAGTACCTCGGAAATATGAGGCACCACTATATTTCTGTAATTCCATACATTCCATTATGTTCTTTGTTTACCAAATTAGATATTGATGAACAGAGTGTGGGTATATGTATATACTACATGTATTTGTTACAATTTGTTTGCATTTGTTTGATTCTTTCGCTCATCTTTAATAATGACAGAAAGCATTGATATTTTTAAAGTTACATGTGTTTTATATATGTTTATGGATATAAAACTTGCAATGCAAAATGTTCCCAGAGGGGGATAATTTGGTAAAAATCCAATGATTAAAAAGTGGTGTTAATGTTATTGTGATTTCCCATTTTACCGTAATGTTTTAACAGTTTAACTTTTATTTTACCAGTACAGAAATGGGTGAGCTGTTTAGACCATACATCATCTACCTCACATCAGAAATAGAGGAAGAACTTCGGAAACTCATAAAGCAATATGAGTGGAAAATTGGTACTTTCAAACGTAAGATTGTTGAAAACCATTTTTTGATCATTATTTTAAATGAAATAATAATAAAGATAATGTTGCTATTGTTTAGTGTAGTAGTACATGTACAATGCTGTTTGAAATTGGTTTAGAAAGTATTTGAAGAAAGATGTATCTTTTTAGCTCTACTATGCAAAGTAAATGGAGGCCTGTGAATATGCTAGTACTTCATCACAAACTTAATTTATCAGCAATATAACTATAATTTTATAACTAGAAGATTTTAAAATACCTTTGAAAACCAGTCTTATTGTATTTGTAGGTGTCCATCAAGATTTATGGTATTTCATTGATTTGATAATAAAACAGGAAGAACTTGCTTTGGATACAATAGAGAAATGCAGTAAGTACAAACTCTTAAAATCATACCTAGAAAATAATATAATGCAGTTTTAAATTAATGTAAAGGGAATGGATCTAGTTCTTATAATAAATATTTTGTTTATTACAGAAAAGCACACAGAAGGAATTCGCAAAGCACAAAAAAGGAAATGTTCAGACAAAAGTACGAATACTGAAAAGTCAAATAAAATTTTCAGAAATGATTCATATGAAATCTCTTATAGCATTGAGCTTGAAGATACAGATCATAATGAAATAAGAAGGATGATAAGCAGTGGCGATGAAACACCTAATTATCACAATTATACATTCAATCAGCCAGAAGGTAAACCTGTGGATGCCACATGTAGTTATGATAAAGGAGAAGCAGAACAAAAATACAGTAATGATAAAAATGTCATACTTGAAAACTCAATGGAAAAATTAGACAGCAGTAAATCAGTTCAAGAAAAAGCGCTTGTTCAAATCTCAGGATTAGATAATGTTGAAATGAAAACAAGTCTTTCAGATTCAAACCATGAAACTTACCAAATAGAAAGTATCCCTAATAACTTCTTAATGAATATACAAGATAATTGTAATGGTAGTGTAAAACAAAATTCTTGTGTAGATGGTGTCAATAAAGATGACATTCCAAGTGTAGATACCACAATAAAAAGCAAATCTACCAACTATAACTTTTGGCAAAGAAGATGTTTGGATAGATTTGAGATGTTTGAATTAAGAAATATATCTGAGCAGCAAGATAAATTAAGATGTGATATCTGTGGTAAACTATTTGTTAGTGAGCGAAGCTTGAAATACCACAAAGAAAAGATTCATTCAGATAAAACATTGAAGCTTGGAGACAAGAAGATTAAACCACAAAAAGAGCTGGAGGTGACTGCATGTCAAATCTGTAGAAAACAATTTGCTGACAGTAAGTTTCTGTAAGATTTATTATTATTTATTATGGCTATGACCAATTTATTTCTAATACTAGCCTTATACGAATAAGGTTTTTTATGCCCCCGGGCATATAGTAATTGAACCGTCCGTCTGTCTGTCTGTCCGTCTGTCCGTCTGTCTGTACGAGGTTAACCTAGAACGGCAAGTTGGATTTTTCTTAAGTTCTATTTGTACCAATGGCTTCTTAGTTTACACACTTACTAATCAATACAAAGTACATGATCTGGTCAAGTGACATAACTATGGCTTCCATATTTACCAAGTTATTGCCCTTTTCAGCACTTAGAAAATGAATAATGGTTAACCTAAAACGGCAAGTTGGAAATATCTTAAGTTCTATCTATACTAATGGCTTCATAATTTCCACACTTACTTATCAATACAAAGTACATGATATTGCCAAGTTATATAACTGTGTCATCCATATTTCCCAGTTATTTCCCTTTTTTCACTTTAAAAATAGGGCCTTGTCTGGTTAACCTATTCCGGCAAGTTGGATTTATCGTAAATTTCTCTTTATTGCTTAATTTATTTAATGATATCTTGCATATTTGGTAGGTGGATACCTTTAATGGTCCTCTAATTTTTTGTGGAGTAAGTGGTCTCTAGGGTCAAAGTCAAGGTCACTGGTTTAGAAAATAAATTTAAACATTTTTGCTCATACAGCCTTTATTATTGGTGGATGTCTTTCATGTTTAATACAAACATGCCAAGGGAGGTCCTCCTTCTTTGGGTATAGTAAGGGGTCATTTGGGTCAAGGTCAATGTCACCAATGTCAAGGTCACCAATGTTAAAAATAGATTTTTACATTTTTACAGGTGTATTAACCATATTCTATAGACAGATGTCATTTACAATTGATAGGAACATAAAATTTGATGGAGTTAGTGGTCAGTTGGGTCAAGGTCACCAGTGCTAAAAATAGATTTTTACACTTTTGCTCATACAGCCTTTATTTATTGACAGATATATTTCATATTTGGTAGGAAGATAACTTGCATGGTATTCATCCTTTTGATTGGGGTAGGGATCAGTGGGTCAAGGTCACTTGTGCTAAAATAGATTTGTACACTTTTGCCCATATAGGCTTTATTTATTGACAGGTGTATTTCATATTTTGATAGGAAGATAACTTGCATGGTATTCTTCCTTTTGATTGAGTAAGGGGTCAGTTGGGTCAAGGTTACTGGTGCTAAAAATAGATTTTTTACACTTTTGCCCATACAGCCTTTATTTATTGACAGATATATTTTTTCATATTTGGTAGGAAAATAACTTGCATGTTATTCTTACTTTGGATGGAGTTAGGGGTCAGTTTAGTCAAGGTCACCAGTGCTAAAAATAGAATTTTACACTTTTGCCCATACAGCCTATATTTATTGACAGATTTATTTCATGTTTGGTTTGAAGATAACTTGCATGGTATTCTTCCTTGGATGGAGTTAGGGGTCAGTTTTGTCAAGGTCATCAATGCTCAAAATAGATTTTAACATTTTTGCCCATTTATTGACAGGTGTATTTCATATTTAGTAGGAAGATAACTTGCATGTTATTCTATAGGTGTCAGTGGGTCAAGGTCAAGGGTGCCAAGTATAGATTTCTTACATTTATATATATTTGATAAAGTTGAATATTTATCACTTAATGACTTGGCAACTTATATATTTCACAATTAAAAAATGCCATGACTCTGTCAAGCTATATTACTTGTGTTTACAATTTTTTGGCAATGTTTCTGTCCATAACTGAGTGACGGCGGCGTGGCCGAGAGGTTAACGCGTGGGACTAGTAATCTAAGGATTGCTGACCGCGTGGGTTCAAACCCTGTCAGGGGCAAGCCGTTGTTTCCTTGAGCAAGAAACTTTACATTCATTGCTTAGTACTGGTTGGTTCCAGGAACAGATTCGAGAGTGTTTCAATAAGCTTATAGCTTCCAACACAATCGAACTAAAATAAATTTGTATAAACTAACTGAGTGAATGGGTAAACATTTTTTGAAATATTGCTACTGACAAGAATCGGAGCCGGGGGCATTTGTGTTTAACAAACACGTTCTTGTTTTGTTAATGAAAAAGTTTGAAAGGGTGATTGTTGTTTTAGATTTATCCTTTCGTTTTTCATCTGTTATAAGATGAAAGCTTTCAGTTTGGGAGAGAAGTGGCATAGTGGTTGTCCGGCTCTTAATGCATAGATCTTTGGTTCAAGCCATACTTTGGTCACAAAAATGTTTCTTTTTATGACACCAGTACTGGTTAGTTCTAGAATCTGTATCAAAGTCTTAGTATAAATTGCAAGAACTTCTTTATATACATACGTATGTTTGAAAACAGCATGACTTAACAATATGCTTATAATGCCCCCTCCAAGGAAGTGGGGGCATATTGTTTGTACAGCATCCTTCTATCCATCTGTAGAGTTCATCTTGTCTTGACATAAATTAGAGAATGATGACCTATTGATTATGAGGATTTTGAAAGGTTACCTTTGGCTTCACCTTTAAAAGCTTATCCAACCAGTTAGTAATGAACACTTTGGCCTACAGTTTTAAAATTTTGTGTTTTAGGTGGTCATTACTTTAAGTATTAAGTAATCTTGTATTTTTTCATATCTATTAAATTCTATATTTACAGAATATTCTTTGAATACTCATCAGCTCACCATGCATAGTGAGAATCATACAGGTTATCAATGTGACCTATGTGGAGCTGTACTCAAACACCTGGGCAACCTTGTTCAACATAAGAAATCATTGCATGGTGGTGGCCGTACACACTGCTGTAACATCTGTGGAAGCTCATTTAAACTGTACCAGCACTTAAAAACACATAAACGCCGACATGATCCATCCTTTGTGGAGACTTGCACCATTTGTGGGAAAACTTTGAGAAAAGGACACCTGTCAACACACATGAAACGTCATTCAAATGAAAAGAAGTTTAAATGTAACACCTGCAGCAAGGCATTTTATGAAAAGCAAGACCTTGAAAGGCATGTTATTTTACACTCAGGAGAAAAACCACATAAATGTCCCTATTGTGCATATGCTTGTGCTTTTAAAGGTAATTTAACCAAACACCTAAATAAAAGACATGCAGGAGTGTTGCAAATATCTGAAAGTAAAAATATGGTAAGATTGGCAACAGACTGAATAAAAACAGTTACTGAGTTAGAGTATGAGAAAATAAATTTGCCACTTGGACATATAGTCTTCTTATTATTCCCTGCAAATGAAATGGAAATGTTACTGTCCACTTGGATACTTATCTTTAAATTGTTTTGTACTTTTTTTTCTCAAAACTGGACAGAAATCTACAGATATGTTTTTTTATAAATAGTTCTTTGTTACTTTATAATGCATTTTTAAAGACAAATTTTAGTTTTGAATCCATATTTTACAGTTGGTTAGATTGTAAATTTGAATGTTTGGTTAGATAATAATGTTTTACAAATAGTTGGTTTAATTGAAATGAAACTCAGGATGAATGTACATGATAATGAGAAAATGATGCTTATTAAATACTATCAAAATCTAATTTGTGTTAAAAATTGTGTTAGATATTCTTATTGTTAACTTTTTATTTTTGTTAATAATCATCCTTAACTCATAGACCTGGAAGTGTATTTGCAAATTGTTCATCATTTTAAGCTTTATTGTTATATGAATTTTGGCCTACTTTCACTTTGACCCACTAAGTGTAAACAAACATGGCTGACAAAGCTGAATCACCTTAATGTCATACATTTCAGCTATACAATTGCGTTCTGCAGGGTACAAATATATCTGAATTTATTACGAAGGTAATGTTTTGGCAGTTCTTATGCCACGTGATCAAAGCTTTTGTTGTTGTTTTTTTAAAAAAATGTTCAGAATGGTTCTTAGATACTATAGTTATTTATATGTATATTTATAGATCAATAAAATGTCAAAAAACATATTTTAGAATAACAGCTGTTGTAATTATTTGATAAAGATACCACAGATCCAGTAGAGTAGATCATGATGTTCATGTTTGTTTTGTATAAAATCTTTCATCTTGACCAATTGTAATATTGCCGCTACTAACCGGAGATATTGTGTCGGGAGAGTTGTCATAGGGCCAGAATTTACTGCTGTCTGAATGTTAATCCACTGTCATTTTATCTATTTGTGTACAGTCTAGTTCAGGTGTGATTTTATGCCCGCTCCCCCCGAAAAGAGGCATATAGTAATCGCACTGTCCGTCCGTCCACGCTTCATCTCCAAAACCACTGGTGGAATGTCAGTGAAATTTCACAGGATTGTTCATCCCCATGCCTAGTTGTGCATAGTATCTTGATTTTCCGCTTGAAATTTTCATGCACATTTATGGCCCCTTAATGATAGATTTTTGAGTAAAATAATTACGCTTGTCTGCACTCCATCTCCAAAACCGCCTAAGGGATTTCCGTGAAACTTCGCAGGATTGTTTGTCATCATACTTTGTTGTGCATAATATCTTGATTTTCCGCTTGAATTTTTTGGCACTGTTATGGCCCCTTAATGATCAATTTTTGAGTAAAATAAGCTTGTCCATGCCTCATCTCCAAAACCCCTGGGGGATTTCAGTGAAACTTTACACCATGCCTAGTTGTGCATAATATCTTTATTTTCCACTTGCACGTTTTTTGGCACAGTCATGGCCCTGAAATGGTCAATTTTTGAGTGAAATAAGCTTGTCCGTGCTTCATCACCAAACCGATGCGGGATTTCAGTGAACATGTATAAAATTGTTTGCATTGTGCCATGATTTTGTGCATGATTTTCCCCACAGTTATGGGCCCTTGATGATTTTTAGTAATATTTGTTTAGACTAAATCTCCTACACTTCTAATGGAATTTCAGTTAAATTTTGGGAATAATATTTATCAAAGGCGGTCGAGGGTATATTACCGGTATTTTGGCATATATTTTGGATTTTATGTCAAATCCTTTCGAGGACATAAGTCACTTTTCAGTGACAGCTCTTGTTGGTTCCACTTTCGAGGGGAAAAATGGATAGCAGTCCGAGCTATTGTCATGATGTCGATGTTGCATTGGTTAACCTTTTCCTTAAGGTCCATTTTCTCATAAAATACAAAAGCCATTGACTTCAAACTTGGCATACATGTAAACTCATAATTGGACGTCATTTTAAAAGGACAGATAATCCTCAATTATTTTATGCAAATTTATGCTTCGTTTTCAACTGAGATTTTTAACCCTGGTTAACCTTTTTGTTCAGATTTTAGTTTTACCAGAAACATTCATGTTTACAATCAAAATATGTCACCATTTCAGAAGATCAGCTAATTCTAAAATAGTTTTGAATATTTATGCCCCCTTTTTATGGTGAGATTTTGTGATGTGTGTTCGTCGTTATCCACAATTTTTTCAAACATTTGCACCAAAACTGCTTGTTGAATTTTGAATAAAATTTAAAGGAATGATCCTTAGGTAGTCCTCTACAAAAGTTTTATAATATTGCATCTTTGTAACGTCGATCTAGAAAATGCATCTGTCAGATGTAAATTTTATTGTGTTGAAAATAATAATCTCACAATAAACTTATTAAACAACACTTTATGGGCCTCTACAAAAGTTATATAAATCATGCACCTGGGGTCAAAATTGGCCCTGCCCCGGAGGTCACTTACTTTACCGTAAAGTAAAAATAACTTGGTAAATAAATAAAGGTTTCTCCACGGAAACTAGAATGCACAGAGCTTAGATACTTTGCTTGTAGCACCACTTTCTGGGTCAAAATTGGTCCTGCCCTGGGGGTCGCCTACTTTATATTATATGTTTATAAATAAGTGATTTGATATTGGCCCTGTTATTTGTCCGAGAGCAGTCGTATTGGTCCAAGGCCGAAGGCCGAGGGCCAATACGACTGACCCGAGGACAAATAACAGGGCCAATATCAAATCATTTATTTATTGACAATTTTATTAAATAACTACATGTACTTATAATATTTCACATTTAATCCTCAGTCATTTCTTCTTATTTTAATTCTCACATATTTTAATTATAACAAAGAACAACTGTAAAAATAACCACAATTTATCAGTTTGTATGGAAAACCTACATTTTGTAACTTATATTGTACATGTACAACACAATGTCAGACTGTGAATGTTTAGAAATGAGAATATTTTTCTTCATTTATGCAACCTGTCGGTGTCTACACATAAACCGAGTTAAAACAAAATGGCTGCCATTTCCCAGTTTCTTGCAGATATCTATATCATTTATGGCCCTGCTATGTAAGCCAATCAAATTACTTCAAATGCGGGTTTTGTATCTATATCACAAAAAGTGATATACATGTAGATATTGGCCCTGTTTTAAGGCAGGCCATCGTGTTATTGAACGTTGCAGGTGCTTTTTTATAGGACTAACAACGTATAGTTATTTAAAAAAAGGAAATAAAATTTAAGTTTTCTTTTGTAAAATTACAATGCAAAGACCTTAGATATTTGGCATGAATCATTGCCATGTGGACATCTACTATTTAAAGTTATATGAGTCATTCCCCTGGCCCCTAAAGTTAAAATGGCCCCGCCCTAGGGTTCACTAACGTACCAATAATACAGCCTGGAGAAGAATGTGACAAACCAGTGTGACCTCATTTCTGGTTTAAACCTTTTCTTGCAATGTATATCTCTTCTTTTTTTTGCGACCAAGGGCCATCATGACTGTCTTGTTTTGTCCACAACTTAACTCGGAACAGTTTTTGGAATATCGATTTTGACACTATATGGGAATAGTATACATGTAGTTCTCTAAGGAGCAGTGTAGTGCTTAAGTATAATAACTCTTTACTTCATTTATGTTATATCCCCTGAATTATTTTTGTTCAGACCATAACTCATAAAGCTTTACATATATTAATCCGAAACTTCATTGGTAGATAGATTACATACAGTAAGAATGAATGGAGTTGACCATAATAACTCTCCTCGTAAAATTTTGTTGTTAAAAGTTATTGTCCTTTTTTTTCATGTTTTGCATTTTTTCCTGGCTATAACACAAAATATTTAAAAGATATAAGCTTAAAACTTCATTACAAGCCTGGTACTTTTTGGGCTATTGACCTTTGATGCGTATTTAAATGTCAGAGTGTGGAAGTGGACTATCCTCTTTGTATTACTCCTCTCCTGGTCTGCAGGGAATTTGCCATCTGTGACTATTTCTTTTACTACTACATTGATACTTAATATTAAGCTTTAATCAAGTGATTTTGTATCATACAGTGGGGGACATCACTTAAATAGTGAGCTTATTCTTTAAAAATCATCATAGTTTTACATGGAGTAGGCAATGAATAAACTGGTCTACCCATGTATTAAATTTATTTGTTTTTAAGGTGACAACAGACACTTTCCGTGGTACTCACATAAATGTCATTTAAACCAAGTTATTTTTGTAATAATTGTAATTCATTTAATCTTTGTGCATTAAATGTCGTTGATCATCATAAAAAATAACATATTTGAAAAAAATGCCTTTGTAAATGATTTATTTTGATTAAAAATCCTAAAATTTTAAATCGTCATATCAAAGTCATTTTTTATTTTTTTGTCATCAAACTTTTGGAAAATAACCATACTTATATTATCTGGGGAACCGTGTCTCAATTTTTTTTATATCTTTTCTCAAAAAAATATTACGTAACGTCAAACATTTTATGCGACTTTTTTCACCATACATATTACGTAATTAAAGATAATTAAGTCGCTGATTGAGCAAACAAAAATCCCTGACACGGTTCCCTCCGTAAATGAATTTCCTTTCATGTGCTTTAAACTGCATGTTAATTACTTGATTATTAAAAAAGTTATGCCGATTCAAAGTTAGTCCGACCCGCATCAAACGAAGTGTCATAAATCGGCTGTTCTCTCTCGGACCCCTACGTTTCACGCTAAATAATTGCATAATACACAAATATCGCACCAGGGAGGGTCACAAGTTGCGGTAACATACTCTAACAACATTTTATGACCCAGTGACATCTGACCAATTAAAAAGCTGCTGATTAATATCAGTTTATAGCCGAAATTTCTTCAATTCTTAACGTGATTTACTGCCCGTCTGGTATTTGTCGCACATGTCACGTGACTATCGGTAAAATTTGAGGCACTCAGTGGGGGCAAATGGAACGCATTTGCGCACCGCTAGAGGGGTATTTAATTGTTTCCTATTTGAAGTTTATTATTATAATCATCAGCATTATGATTGTATTATACCAGTGTCACTCTGCCTGTGTATTCGTGTATGAAATTCCGTTTAAATATAAAATAAAATAACAAAAAACTGAGCTTCTGACAGTCTTTTAAAGTCCATGGTAGATGTACAAATAAGAACGGGATAGTATGTATTTTTTCCACCAAATTGATAATTCTTCACATATTTTAATAGAAATAAAAGGTATTACTCGATCATTATTATGTGGCCTTCTTGGCTTCTATACAATACAATACAATACAATACAAATCACTTTATTTTCAATTGTCACAGATTACATAATACACATTTAACATGTATCAAGCAATAACATGTGAACGAAGAGTAGCATAAATAATTTGTATGGGTAACAACATGGTCAAAAATATTCTAATTAATTATGTTTTGGGTTTAAGTGTTTCTGTATTTGATGGGGAAAGCGGACAATATTTGAAGTATTTATTTGAAAGCGGTGAAAAACAAAGTTTTGAGTTCTTAATATGCTAACAACAATAAAAAAGAAAAAGTCAGTGAACATAAAGTAGTCAAAAATTTATGAATGAAGTAACCAATAATTTTAATTTTGGCCTATGTACAACCGGGCTGACCTGGAAAAAACCTA